TCTCTGTCTTCCTTGGTGCCTGGCCTGGGGCTGGATTGGAGTGAGGAGTGAGGGAGAGGCAGCTGTTTATACCATCTCTGAGCCTCAGCTGGTGGCCCCTAAGCTCCTTTCTCTTCTTCCTCCATGCATGCGTGCATGCATGTGTGTGTGTTTATGTGTGTGAATCTGGAGATTGAACCCAGGACCCCCATCCCAGGCCTCCCCTCCCTTTCTTCTTGAGACAGAATCTTACCATGTAGTACTGGCCAGCTTTGAACATATGTAGCCAGATAGGCCTCAAACCTGTAGTAATCCTCCCAACAGTCTCCTGAGTGCTGGGGTTGCAAGTATTTACCACCACACCCAACCCAACCCTTTTAAGAATTTGAGACAGGTTATTGCTTTTTTCCCATCTCTCCCATCTCATTAAGCCACCTAGGCTGTGCCTGAATTTGTAGTCCTCCAATCTCAGTCTCCTGGATCACTGAGATTACAGGCATGAGCCCACATGCCTGGTTTCTCTTCCTTCTTAATCATCTGTTTTTGTTTTTTGGAATCCTTGAAAGGCTGATGTGTTTACAGTGGATTTTCCTTCTAGGAGATGTACATATACAAATGTTTGTGTTTGAGGTGCTGGGGTCATTCCTAGAGCCCTCTTAGGTACATCCACATCTGTGTGATCATTTTGACTTGTTTTGTTGTTGATGTTCCTATTTTCCTCAGTTGGAGTCTTGCTAAATCACTAAATTTTCCAGGCTGGGCTTGAATTTGCAAGACTCCTGCTTCAGCCTCCCAGAGATTTGACATAGGCATGTACCACCATGTCTGGTATGTTTTAAATTTTTTTTTTTTTTTTTGGTCCCGGGGATTGAACTTTGCCAAGCAGGCACTTATGCCGTTGAGCTAAAGCCCTGGCCCTGTTTTAAAATTTTGAGACAAATTACTGCTTAAGTCACTGAATTGCTCAAGCTGGGCTTAAATTTGCTGCCTTAGTCTTAGAGTTCTGGGCATATAGTTATGTACAACCCAAGTTTTTTTTTAATTTTATTTTTCATCCGTCCCAGGGATCAAACTCACGACCACACAACTTGCAAGGGAGGCGCTTATGCTGCTGAGCTAAATCCCTAGCCCCAACCCAAGGTTTTTTAAAATTGATTTTCACAGTACTGGGAACTGAACCCAAGAGTACTGAAGTATATCCCCCTTGCTCTGATTTTCGTTTTTGAGTTCAGGCTGCCCAGAAGCTGTGTGCCTGGCCTTGAACTTGCAGTGATCCTCAGGGCTCAGCCTCCGAGTGCTGTGGTTGTAGGCAGGCACCACCATTATAGGCTGGGCAGGAGTGGGACATCTTTACCTGCTGTGACTATGCCCTGCCTGTTTGGGGAGGCTGCTATTTGAGAGATTTGCTGTACCAACATCTACTTGGAGACTGTCCTTTTAGAAACTGAATGGAAAGCTCCTGTTGTGTGGAATGTAATCAGTCATCTGCTGTGCTCTTTCCTGGTGGGGCTGTATGAGAACAGCTATTGCCTCTGAAGGCCTAGAGCCCCGTGGATGCAGTGTGGGAACATGGTCTTGCTAGATAATCATAGCCAGCATTTCACCCAACAATTACTGTGGCTCTAGCCTCTAAACAGTGGCTACCACTAAATAAATTTTCTGTGAATGATGAAAGAGTAACTTTTACAGGTATCTTAGATTTCACAACTTTCGGAGAAGTGTATACTCCCCTCCCCACTTTTTTTGTAGTACCAGAGGTTGAACTGGGCCCCTTTCCAATGAGCTACATCCCCAGCCCATTTTTTTTTTTTTTAATTCAAGACAAGTCTTGCTAAATTGCCGCAACTGGATTGGAGTTTTTGATCTTCCTGTCTCAGCCTCTGAGAAGGGTGGGGTCACAGATGTGTACCAGCATGCTTGGCTTTTGGTGAGAAATGAAGTTTGGAGAGGTTCAGTAACTTGCTGAACATTGATGAGTGACAGGATTGGAGTCTCAAATCCATCCCACTCTGTAACCATGCCTGTACTCACATTAATCTGTCTTTGTAGGCTTCAGGATTTAAAAATTCTGATTCAAGGCCATATCTCGTGACTAGCCTCCCAGAGGTAGGTGTGTACTATTACGCCCAGTTGAAAGTTTTGATTCTTTTGAGACAAGGTCTTTTTTTTTTTTTTTTTTTTAATCGGTACCAGGAATTGAACTCATGACTGCCTACTTGCAAGGGCAGGCGCTTATGCTGCTGAGCTAAATCCCCAGCCCCCTGAGGTAAAGTCTTAATTTCTAGTTCAGGCTGACCCTGAACTTACTATGTAGCCCTGTATTACGGCCTTTACCTAGCATACAAGTCCCAGGGCGTTAACACAGGATAAGGTACAAACCAGCTGTGGTGGTGCACACCTGTAATTCCAGCACTTAGGAGGCTGAGGCAGGAGGACTGACGTGAGTTGGAGGCTAGCCTGGGCTACATAGTGAGACTCTGTTTCAAAATCAAAAATAAAAAAACAAAACACATTAAGTTTCCTGCTATCTGTGATAGCAGGAGAAGTGGGCTCTGGAGTAGGGTTTAGTGCCAATTCTAGACTTCTCTTTGAGTTTAGCTCTCCATATTGTGAGAAGAATAACAGGGCCCAGGCCAAATGCCTTGGTGTATACCTGTGGTCCCAGCTATTCTGGAGGCTAAGGCAGGGATGTGGCAAGTTTGAGGTGAGCCTGGGCAATTTAGACAGTTTATTTTTTATTTTTTTATTAAAAAAATTTTTTTTTATCAGTACCAGAGATTGAACTCACAATTGCACACTTGGAAGGCAGGCACTTATGCCACTGAGCTAAATCCCCAGCCCCAATTTAGACAGTTTAAAATGAAAAGGGTCAGGTGTGGCACATGTCTGTAAGCCCAGTACTAGGAGACTAAGGCAGGAAGATCGTTGTGAATTGGAGGCCAACCTGGATCACATAAGAGACTCTGTCTCATAAAGGCTAGGGGTTAGGGGGTAGGAGAAGACTGCCTAGTATGTGGCAGGTCCTGGGTTCAATCTCTAGTACCGCAAACAGGAGGAGCAGGAGATGGTGAAGATTGAGATTGCCTAGGTCATGTGCATGGAGTGACCAATTCCCCTGTGGCACTGATAATTCCAGAGGGACCCTTTGCTAGCTAGGTCAGTACTGTTTAAAGCACTTACACAAGAAATTCACTCTGGGGGCTAGGGATTTAGCTTAGTGGCATAAGCGCCTGCCTTGCAAGCAGGCAGTCGTGAGTGCAAGCAGGCAGTCCTGAGTTCGATCCCCGGTACCGATAAAAAGGAGAAAGACCAAAAAAAATAACCAGTTAACTCTGCGTGTGTGTTAGTAACAGATTGAGCTCTGGGAGCCCTGAGCTACATCACAAAGCTTTTTATTTTTCAATTTTTTTTTTTTTTTTTTTTGTCTTTTTTCCTTTTTATCGGTACCGGGGATCAAACTCAGGACTGCCTGCTTGCACTCAGGACTGCCTGCTTGCAAGGCAGGCGCTTATGCCACTGAGCTAAACCCCCAGCTCCCTATTTTTCAATTTTTGAGACAGTCTTCCTAAATTACTCAGGCCAGTTTGAAATTTGAGATCTTTCTGCCTCAGCCTCCCTGGAATTAAAGGCTGCACTACCCCATGCAGGAAAGATTATTTAATCCTCAAATCCAAGAGTGGATGTTATCATTGTGAGAAAACGCTCAGACCTTAGCCAGACTGGCTTCAGATCACACCATTTTACAAAGCAGCAGGAGGTAGGTTGTAGTACTAGCTAGGTAACAATAGCTTGGATTAAAACCCAAGATAGCTGATGTTCCAGCCTGTGACCCTCAAAATTTCCAGGCAGGGGTTTTGAAGATTGCTTCCATCATTATTTAGTCTGACTTTTCATTATTGACTTTATTTTTTATGCCACTGAGCTGTATCCCTGGCCTATTTTTTAAGTAATTAATTTAGAGACGGGGGTGGGTGGGTGGGTGGTGGTGTCTCCCTGTGTAGTTCAGACTAGCTTTAAACTCATTATGTACCCAGGCTGGCCTTGACTTGGCAGGGATCCTCCTGCTTAGGTGTCCAATGTTGGGATTAAAGGCATGTGGCACCATACCTGGCTTTTTTTTAATTTTTTGAGACAGTCATATTGCTATGTAGTCCAGGATTGGTTCTGAGTTTCTGAAGATTCTTTTGCTTCAGCCTAGGGAGTGCTGGGATTATAGGTGTGCACCACCGAGGCTGGCCTCACTATTGATTTAGCCCCTCCCTAGGAGTGGCTGATTTCAGTAAACAACAAATCCACTCAAGCTATTTTTGTGGTTAGAATGTTTCTTTTATTCTTTTTGGTACTGGGAAATGAACTCAGAGCCCTCTCACTAAATTATATCTCCAGCTATTTTTAAATTATGAGAGCTAGTCTTGCTAAATCACTAAATTGTCCAGACTAGGGCTAGCTATGGTTCCAGTGACACAAGTGCCTGCCTGGCAAGGACAAGGTCCTGAGTTCGATTCCCAGTACTTCACACAGACACACAAAATTTTCCTGTCTCAACCTCCCCACAGTGCTGGCATTATAGGGGTGTATCACTACACCTAGCCAAAAGTTCCAAATCTTTTTTTTTTTTTTTTTTCTTGGAGACAGGGTCTCAGTCTAAGATCCAGGCAGGTCCTGAACTCCTGCCTCAATCTTCCAGAGTGCTGGCCAATGGGCGTGTGCCATTATTGCCGGCTGAAAGTTTCAACTCTTTTAGGGTAACAATTTCTTTTGCAGGAGCCTATCAATGATCTAATCAAAGTATTTGCAAAGGTTGCATAATTCATTTCAATATTCTCAGTACCTGGCCAGCACCTCGCCTAGCATTTAGCATGCATTCAGAAGATGCTTTCACAAAGTATGAATGAACTAAAGAATCACCAGAGTCTCAGACAGGGGTCGGTCTGGGAATTCTAAGGTTCGGGAGGGGACACGGGGGCGGGCACTGGCTGTCACGTGATGGGGCGGGGCGAATCCCATGTGCGCCGCGGCTCCGGGCACTCGGCGCGGCTCCGCCCTCGGCGCCGGTCACGTGGGGGCGCCGGCTGCGCCTGCGGAGAAGCGGTGGCCGCCGAGCGGGATCTGTGCGGGGAGCCGGAAATGGTTGTGGACTACGTCTGTGCGGCTGCGTGGGGCTCGGCCGCGCGGACTGAAGGAGACTGAAGGTAAAGCCGCCATGTCCGGGCTCGACCCGGCCCCCCACCCCCTCCCCCCGCATCCGCCGCCATCCGGGCTGGGACCGGCCACCCTGTGCCGGCGCCCTGGCGCCTCGGCCCCGAGGCCCGAGCGTGGGCCTCGGCCCGCCAGGCCCCGATCTGCGGCCCACGTGTGCCCGGCCCGGCCGGGCCTGGCTGCTGGGTGGGGGCGGGGGAGCGCGGGGCCGCCCCGGGAGGGCCCCGCGGGCTGGGAGTGCGCCGAGCTCTCCGGCAGCGCGATGCCACCTCGGCGCGACCCGAGCAGGCCCGGCGGCCCGCGGGCACGGGCTCCGCGGCTCCGGGCGCGCCGCCCCCTCCCCCCCTTCGCGGCCGGGCCGCCGGGAAGTGACACGTTGTTCTCTGGCACTGGCCAGCGCTGCGCAGGGAGGGCGGTGGCGGGCAGGGAGGAGCCCCCGGCCCCGCCCGCCCTCGGGGCCGACCCTCGCTTGCCCCGAGCCGGTTCCGCCGCGGTCGCCCGCCCGGCTTTTCGGGGCGGACTCCTGCCCTTCGGGTTGCGTCCGAGGCAGCGGCGAGCCTCGCCTCTGGCCCCACGTTGAGGCCTCCGCAGCGGGCGTGCTTCGTGTGTCCCCAGGCCAGGCCCGGTACCCGGTGTCCCGGGTGGGGGGTGGGGACACCACGGCCCAAGCCGCTTGCTTCGTCTGTGCTCCGGGAGCCTGGTGCCAGCGAGACCTGGAATTTCCGGTCTGGTTGGTCTTGGGCCCCGCGGAGCCAGGTTGATACCCCTCACCTCCCAACCCCAGGCCCTCGGATGCCCAGAACCTGTAGGCCGCACCGTGGACCTATTCTTTACAGAGGGGGTGAGTGAGGGGGCTGTTTGTGCCGGACGCCGGGTGGGAGGCGGTGGTTGGAGGTGAAGCAAATTTTGACAGCGCGCTGGTGGGGGACCCGGGCTGGATCTTTTATGCTTCTTCACTTCTTTGGTATCTACTGGGCTCCATAGGGGACCCAGCCCTTGCTTGAACCCTTCCCCCATTGGATTTGCTTTAAGCTTGGATCTTTTCCCCTTTTTGTTCCTCCCTGTTTCCCAACAGGTGCTGGGGGGACCCTGATGTGGCACCAAATGAAATGAACAAAGCTCCACAGCCCACAGGCCCCCCGCCCACCCCATCCCCTGGACTCCCACAGGTAATTAGGGAGGAATTATCTGAAGATACAGACTGAAAGGGAGGGTGGGGGAGACCAGGCAGTCCTAGGTCAGGAACAGGTTCCAACCTTTCCCACCCCCATCTGTGTTAGGGCAAAGTGCAGTTGCCCGCTGCCAAATCCACACAGGGCCCCTGATTGTCCCTGGGGGCTGTCACCAGGAGGGAGTATGTGGGCTTCTAAGGCTCTTGCCGCAGATACGCTCCCCTTATTTCACCAGCTTGGGTTTCGGCCCCACCCGGCCTTCCCCTCTTGCTGAACTCTGGTCTCCCCCTTCAGCCAGCGTTTCCCCCGGGGCAGACTGCACCGGTGGTGTTCAGTACGCCACAAGCGACACAAATGAACACGCCTTCTCAGCCCCGCCAGGTGAGAGGTTGGGAGGGTGCAGGGGGAATTTGGGGGATACTGTGAAATTTACTGCCAGTTTGGGCCTAGGATGGAAATTATGGAAGCCCTGGCTCAATTTTCTGACAGTCCCTCGGTGTTGTCTCTGTTCTGTACTTTGTGCTGTTGATTACTTACAGGGTGGCAGGCCCCTTGGGGAGTATGTAGTTGGTGAGGGTGGCATCTTTGGGGTCCTGATCCCTCAGAACTCGGGACAGTGCTGTGGGCCCTGCTGCCAACTCTTGCTTTCCTGTTTCTTCTTTTACTGGGAAGTTGCCATTGCTCTATTCCCTTTTCTTGCTTTTTCTTTGGACTGGCGAGATAAGCATTCCAGCTGGTTTCTTCTTTTTTTTTTTTCTGCCTCTGTTCCTCAAGTTCTTCACTAAGTGGGAGGATTCTTGTCCTACCTCCTCCATTTTTCCTCCCTCATCACCTTGGGGATAATTCTCTTCTCTCCTGCCCCCATGTGCTCTCAGGGAGGATTCAGGTCTCTGCAGGTAATACTACCCTTTCCTAATTCTAGACCGTGTCCTGGTCTCACCCCTTCCCTTTACCCTGGCTAGGAACTAGATACAGGGATTGGGGGTCATCTTCAGGGTGGGGACTTGTGCATTGGTTAGGTCTTCAGTTTGAAGCTGAGAAGTGCATGTTAGGGGCTCCTGTTGAAGAGCAGGTGTCTGGGAACTGGGAGACTGTTGCATGTTAGCAGTTAGCTTCTCAGTACTTTAGATGGAGCAGTGCATGCTGGGGAGTGTGTTGCCTGAAAGGGCCTGACCTAGGCATGATACATCTGGGTGTTAGGAAGCCTCTGCACAATACTAGTCTGGTGGAGGTGCCATGAGTATGCATGGTAGTGAGAGATTAAATATATACAGGATGCAGAGTATTCACTTGAGTTAGGACAGCATGTGTGAGCACAAGAAGCCACTTAACCATCAGTTGGTCAAGTGGGTCTTGGAAGGATTGGTCTCCAGGCTCCAAAGCATATGTAGTAGTTCTCCCCAGACATTGTGGAGTGGCTGTTCTGCCATCCACTTCCCCTCTTCCTGATCCGACTGCTTTCCTCCCTCCTGATAGCACTTCTACCCTGGCCGGGCCCAGCCCCCCAGCAGTGCAGCCTCCCGAGTGCAGAGTGCAGCCCCTGCCCGTCCTGGCCCAGCTGCCCATGTCTACCCTGCTGGATCCCAAGTAATGATGATCCCTTCCCAGATCTCCTACTCAGCCTCCCAGGGGGCCTACTACATCCCTGGACAGGTGAGGATGGAAGTTTGGGGACCAGGAGCCCCAGATCTCCTCCACCCTGACCCTCTAAAGAGATGGGACTTCCTTGTCCAACTTTGTTTTAGTAATCGGATGTGCTCATAGCTCCCCTCAATTCCTTCTTCCCCCTTCTTTCTCCCAACCCCCACTAGGGGCGTTCCACATATGTTGTCCCGACACAGCAGTACCCAGTGCAGCCAGGAGCCCCAAGCTTCTTTCCGGGTGCAAGCCCTACTGAGTTTGGGACATACGGTAAGTGGGAGAGGGAGTCAGGTGAGAATTCATCCCAGAAAGCATTTAAATTGATGGACTGCTTCGTGAAGCAAAGGCCACTTCCCATTGTGGCTTTGGTCTAAAAATGAGAGGATGGATACAAGGTGGGCATTGGTGCTAACTGGTGTTGGTTGTGGGGGGCAGGTGATTTTTTTTTTTTTTTTTTTTTTTTTTTTTTTTTGCCAAGGCATACGAAATTCTCTCCACACCAAGAAATGTGGGGTCAGGCTCCAGCTTGTGGCTTGTTGGTGGGCTTTCCCCATGGTGCTCCGTCTGTGCTGGAGAGGCCCATTAAATGTGGGGTTTGAGAGCTGCCTTTTATATTTTGGTGGCTATTTTTTATTTATATTCTAGAAAAGGATGTCTGTTCTTTATAGTAGTGTTTCCAAAACATTTTTTTTATCCTAGAGAGTATGAAATTCTCTAACATGCATGGTTTTGTTTGTGTACATTGTGTGTAACTTAAGTAGATAGTATTCCTGGTGCTGTCAGAAACAGTTCAGTGGAAATTTTGGGTGAGACAAGTGCAACTTGTTTGGGGAAAACTGCTTTAAGGAGTCTTTCTCCATGTTGAGCTTGGACTGTATGTAGTATGTTGTTTCCTTGGCCCTTTGCAGAGGTTGAATAGTGGGATTTGACTTGGTGAGTGAAACAGAGTTGGCAAATCTCTGTTTCTCATTTGCAGCCCAAGAGCTGATTCTGTTTCAGGTTCAGTGTGTGTGTGCAGCCTGCAGGGTAGGGTGCTTACAGGACAGTGCAACAGTATGAGTCCTCCTGTGGCCAGAGTGTGGTAGGGGAAGGAGTGTCTGCATAGGAGGGGTGTGTGTGAGAGTGAGTGTCAGGGTCAGGAATTCTTGTAAACGCAGTTCAGACTGGTTCCCCGGCTTTGACAGACATCTAATTCCCTGGGGGAGGAGGGCGGAGCTGGGCCAGGGGCCGCCCGTGGGTGACGAGGTAGGAGGTATTCAAGTAGGCATCACACTGATGGCTGGGTCTTGACGCTGCTTCTATTCTTCCTTTTTGTCCCCTTCCTCCAAGCTGGCGCCTACTACCCAGCCCAAGGTGTGCAGCAGTTTCCTGCTGGCGTTGCCCCTGCCCCAGTTTTGATGAATCAGCCACCCCAGATTGCTCCTAAGAGGGAACGAAAGCCGGTAAGTAGCAGCAGGGGGTTCTGGGAATATTGAGGAAGGGGAGAATCAAGGTTTAGTGCTGCTGGGGCATTGTGTCTCTGAGTAGGATCTTGAAGCTCCTTAGCTGAGAGTAGGCAGAATGGGATCTGTGGAATGCTCAGGTCCTTTGTAAGCTTCCAAGTTGTCTGTAGGAGCAGCTGATCATAGGAAGACTGAAATGGCAAATGGAGAAATTCCTGAGATCTGGACTCTGGGGCTTCATAAGAACTATGGTTGGTTTTAGGTTTCTGGTGGTGTGCATTGGAAATGGTTTGTTTTCTATGGCCCCACCCCCCACTCTCTAGTCCTGGAAACTCTGGAGGCCTCCGCCTCTGCTCAGTCCTCAAGCCCTGGGCGTGGTGCCCAGAATAGGGTGCCAGGGCTGGGGAAGCCGCTGAGTCACCCTGGCTCCACCCACTGGATCTGGGCCCTGCCCCCAGAGATCAGGCCGAAGAGCCACAAGTGAGCCGGCTAGGTGCTAGATGGGGGTCTTGGCCTCTAGGGTGTGCAGCCTCTGACTTGGGGACTGCTGTCAGGGTAGGGTGTGGAGGGAGGGGCATTGTGATGTTTGGGGCTGCTCTGTGAGGTCAAGGGTCTCTCAGAGGGCGTGGGGGGCTAGGGCAGGGACTACAAGGGCAGCCAGATGGGTTGACTATAAACTCATGGGGTTTCTGGCACCCACCCACCTGCTTCTCAGTAGGGGGTGGGGAGTTGGCCCAGAGTGTCAGCAGTGGGGCCGAGGGGAGAGATCAGCTCTTCCTGCTTATGCCATAGCTTTTTTTCCTCAGATCCGAATTCGAGATCCAAACCAAGGAGGGAAAGATATCACGGAGGAGATCATGTCTGGGGCTCGAACTGCCTCCACACCCACACCTCCCCAGGTACTGTCTCCTCTTCTCAGTGCCTTGGCTGGGATGGCTGTTTGCGCTCCTCTACCAAGTCCCTTGGTCTTTTTTCTTCCATTAAGGGATCTGTTTCCCTGCTTTCCTGGATTTCTAGGCAGAGCTAAAGTAAAAATGGCTCTAGTAAAGAAGGGTTGTGGGACTCTGCAGTGCAAACTTGGTAACCCTTTGTGTCCTGCAGACGGGAGGCGGTCTGGAGCCTCAAGCTAATGGGGAGACGCCCCAGGTTGCTGTCATTGTCCGGCCAGGTGAGTTGGCCAGTGGGACAGCTTTTATGAGGAAATGGAGTGTGACAATTGGGAATTCCAAGGAGGTGGAATGGCTTGAGTTTCAGGTAGTAGATTGGAGGGTAGATACATTTTGGGTAGGGAGGTGGCTTTGGTAAAACATGATGAGGGGTGGGGTCAGAGTGGTGACCAGCCTGGTTGGGAGGGGAGGGACAGTGACAGTGGAGAGCCTGCCTGCCTTCTCATGGTTTCTTCTGTGATGCAGATGACCGGCCCCAGGGAGCACTCGCGGGCCGGCCAGGACTTCCTGGCCCAGAGCACAGCCCTTCAGAGTCCCAGCCCTCATCACCCTCTCCAACCCCATCACCGCCTCCAGTCTTGGAACCTGGATCTGAGCCTAATCTCGGAGTCCTCTCTCTTCCTGGGGACACTGTGTCAACGGGGATGCTACAAATGTCTGTAGAAGAATCAACTCCCATCTCCCATGAAACTGAGGAGCCATATTGCCTCTCTCCAGAACCCACTCCTCTTGCCGAACCCATACTGGAAGTAGAAGTGACACTTAGCAAACCGATTCCAGAATCTGAGTTCTCTTCCAGTCCGCTACAGATTCCCAACCCCCTGGAATCTCACAAGGTGGAAGTTCCCGAGGCTAATGGCCTAGTGCCATCTGAGGAGCTGGAACCAGAGGGGGAGTCAAGCCCAGAGCTTGCCCTTCCTCCGCCAGCGGCTTGCCCCACAGATTCCTCTGAGCCTGTTGCTCCGACTGCTCAGCCTGAGGAACTGCTCAATGGGGCCCCCTCACCGCCAGCTGTGGACTTGAGCCCAGTCAGTGAGCCCGAGGAGCAGGCTAAGGAGGTCCCTGCGCTTTTGGCTGCCCTGGCCACCGTTTCTTCCACTCCATCTGGGACTCCCCCAGCTGCTTCCCCTCCTCAGGAGGAGGAGATAGAGGAGGAAGAGGAGGAGGAGGAGGAGGAAGAAGGAAGAGAAGCTGAAGCTGAGAATGAAAAGGGAGGGGAAGACCTGCTCTCCTCAGAGAGCACCCCCACCCCAGCTCACTCGTCCCCGAATTTGGAGGCAGCAGCAGCCACCCAAGGTAAGGTGTGGCTGGATAGTAGATGTGGGGCAGGCCAGGAGATGTGGTTTCATTGGTGACCTCCATGTAGGTCAGCGTGCCTGGGTCGTGGAAATCCTGTGATGGAATCTAGGAGCTATGGTGAGCGCTCTGAAGCTGGAGAGAGTGATGGAAAGAGGAAGTAGTATGCTACAGCTGCATTACAGTTGCCCCATAGGTTGAGGGTCATCTAAATTCCTATGTGTTTTTCTTTTTTTAATTAGTGGCAGTATCTGTGCCAAAGAGGAGACGGAAAATTAAGGAGCTAAATAAAAAGGAGGCTGTGGGAGACCTCCTTGATGCCTTCAAAGAGGTGAGGGAGCTGGGAAGAAGAGGGGTCTGGGGAGGGCAGAGTATGGTTATGGACTGCTATCCACTGTTGTGTTCTTTGCAGGTGAACCCAGCAGTACCAGAGGTGGAGAATCAACCTCCTGTGGGCAATAATCCAGGCCCAGAGTCAGAGGGCAGCAGTGTGCCCCCAAGGCCCGAGGAAACCGAGGAGACCTGGGACTCCAAGGAAGACAAAATCCACAATGCTGAGAACATTCAGCCCGGGGAACAGAAGTACGACTACAAGTCAGGTATGCCGAGGGGAGGGCTGAGGTGGCTGCAGCTCTGGACAGGGTCCCAGAAGAACAGAGCGTGATGGATACAGCCTCTCTTGCAGATCAGTGGAAGCCGCTAAACCTTGAGGAGAAAAAGCGTTACGACCGTGAGTTCCTGCTTGGCTTTCAGTTCATCTTTGCCAGTATGCAGAAGCCGGAGGGCTTGCCCCATATCACTGATGTGGTGCTGGACAAGGTTGGTGGTTGGAAGGGGCAGTGGGTGAGTTTGAGCCGGGCTGACTGGAGAGGAGTCAAGGTACGGAAGGAGCAGCCAGTGGTCCTGGGCTGTGTGTGAGACTTGCCGCATTTCCCTCATAGGCCAATAAGACACCCCTGCGGCCACTGGATCCCTCAAGACTGCCTGGCATAAACTGTGGTCCCGACTTCACTCCTTCTTTTGCCAACCTTGGCCGACCAGCCCTTAGTCGTGGGCCCCCAAGGGGTGGGCCAGGTGGGGAGCTGCCCCGAGGGCCGGTGAGTGGGGCTGGGGCTTGGGGTGTCTGTGGAGCGGGTGAGAGGTCTGCCCTGGAGATGTGCAGCAGTAAGGTCCCAGGTGCTTAGTGGTTCCTGTCTTCACTTGTTGTTGCGTCTTGTTTAGCAGGCTGGCTTGGGACCTAGGCGTTCTCAGCAGGGCCCCCGAAAAGAACCACGCAAGATCATTGCCACAGTGTTAATGACTGAAGATATAAAACTGAACAAAGCGGAGAAGGCCTGGAAACCCAGCAGCAAGCGGACAGCGGCCGATAAGGAAAGGGGAGAGGAGGATGCTGATGGCACCAAAACACAGGTATCCACAGGTCCTGTGTGTGCTGTCCAGCCCTGCTTCTCAGGCCTGCCACAAGTCTGCTTTGCCCTTTTTGTCCATCCATCCCTCAGTCCCCACAGCAACCTCTGTGTGAGAACCTCACTGGATCCTGTGTCTTCTCTGTCCCCTCTCCCTCAGGACCTGTTCCGCAGGGTGCGATCCATCCTGAATAAGCTCACGCCTCAGATGTTCCAGCAGCTGATGAAGCAAGTGACACAGCTGGCCATCGACACTGAGGAACGCCTGAAAGGGGTCATTGACCTCATCTTTGAGAAGGCCATTTCTGAGCCCAACTTCTCTGTGGCCTACGCCAACATGTGCCGCTGCCTCATGACGGTTAGTGGCCCCGCTTTTCTAAATCACCACCTTGCTTTCCTCTGCAGTTCCCAAGGCTCCTGGCCTCACTGTCTTGGTTCCCCTCCTGCCTCTGCTGGATGCTGGCTGAGGGCGAGACCAAAGCCCAGAGGTCTTCTGGGTCAGGGGTTAGGCACTCAGAGGGCTTTGCCTGCCCTCACTGGTCTCCACGTGCCCTTCTCTTTGACCTGCAGCTGAAAGTGCCCACTACAGAAAAGCCAACAGTGACTGTTAACTTCCGAAAACTGTTGTTGAATCGATGTCAGAAAGAGTTTGAAAAAGATAAAGATGATGATGAAGTTTTTGAAAAAAAGCAAAAAGAGATGGATGAAGCTGCTACGGTGAGAAAACCCACTCCACAGTTCACCCCCTGCTCACCACCCTCCTGTCACCCAGATGTAGGATCTGGGAAACTACTGCTTTACTGGCCGGCTGGGTGTCCAGATTGTAGCTCAAGAAAGGCTGTAACCAAGTGGCCAGGTGTCAGCTCTGATGTGGTTCTTCTGTGACTGGCAGGCAGAGGAGCGGGGACGCCTAAAGGAGGAGTTAGAAGAGGCTCGGGACACTGCCCGACGGCGCTCCTTAGGGAACATCAAGTTTATTGGCGAGTTGTTTAAGCTCAAGATGTTAACCGAGGCAATTATGCATGACTGTGTGGTCAAACTACTTAAGAACCACGATGAGGAGTCCTTGGAATGCCTCTGTCGCCTGCTTACCACCATTGGCAAAGACCTGGACTTTGCAAAAGCCAAGGTGAGGCTCTTGTGAAGGGGGTGGGCCTGTGGGCCCCCAGCCACTGATGACAGACATCTCTGTTAGACTGCCAGGTCTGGGCTGTTGGTGAGATGATGAAAGTTCATGACCTGGCTGTCTGCTCCCTAGCCCCGAATGGATCAGTATTTCAACCAGATGGAAAAAATCATCAAAGAAAAGAAGACATCATCTCGCATCCGCTTTATGCTACAGGATGTGCTGGATCTACGACAGGTATATGTCTCTTCCCACTGTCATTCTGTTCTCATCGTCAGTGCTGCCTCATCTGGGACTTCCTGACATAATTGGAAATGGCTTTCTGGTCCCACAGAGCAATTGGGTGCCACGCCGTGGAGATCAGGGCCCCAAAACCATTGACCAGATCCACAAGGAGGCCGAGATGGAGGAGCATCGGGAACATATCAAAGTGCAGCAGCTCATGGCCAAGGGCAGTGACAAGCGTCGCGGTGGCCCCCCAGGCCCACCCATTAGTGAGTTGGAGGCCAGGACTAGGGAGGGAGTAGGAGTAGGGAAGGGACTGGGATTTTGCTTTCCGATGATGACTTCTTGTTAGTGCCACGTGTCTGGGCCACTGAGACCCCATGATGGAACTGAGGACCTGAGGAAAGGAAGCTGGGGTGCCCGTGGAGCAGGGCTGCAGAGACTTACTGTTAATTTGGTGACATTCTCTTTCTGTTCCAGGTCGTGGTCTTCCACTTGTGGATGATGGTGGCTGGAACACGGTCCCCATCAGCAAAGGCAGCCGCCCCATCGACACCTCACGACTCACTAAGATCACAAAGGTTAGGGGTGTGCTGAGGGGTGATGTTGAGGCTGACGGTAAAGGGCTTGACTTCCCTTGAGGTCGTGGAGGCAACTACTGGAGCTTTCTTAGACTAATGGAAATTGCTAGACAGGACTGCCAGCTCTAGGGGTTTATGCACATGGGTCTGGGCAAACTAACTGCACGGTAACCCAGTGTGTCGCCTACTTTTTGTATATCCTGCAAGCCGAGAATGCGTATTTGTTTTTATTTTTACTTTCTTACTTTTTAAAGATAGGGTGTCACTGTGTAGTGGAAGCTGGCCTTGAGATTACTGAAGTAGTGCTTAGGCTGACCTCAAACTCATGATGGTCCTCCGGCCTCAGCCTCTTTTTTGTTTTTAAATGGTTGAAAAATATCAAAGGTAAATGATACTTCTATGATTCTGTAATTACCTAAAAGTTTAAATTTTCACTGGGCATGGTGACACACACCTACAATTCTGGCACTCTGGAGGCTGAGGCAGAGAATCACTGCAAATTTGAGGCCTGCCTGGGTTACAGTAGTGAGTTCAAGGCTAGCCTGGACTGTACCAAGTCCCTGATTTGAGAAACTGAAAAGAAATGTTTTCGATGTTTGTAAGTAAAGTTTTATTGGAAGATAGCCATACTCAGCCCTTTAAGTATCAGCTAGGGCTGCTTTCATACTGCAGTGATAGAACTGAGTAGTAGTTGTGATGGAGATCTTAGCTTGCGGAATCTGAAGTCTAGTGTTTGCTACTGGCATGGCTGGGTGTGGGGGCTGCTAGCTGATGGCTTTTGCCTGGTCAGACACATGACTTTTGCTGTTCCTTCTACAGCCTGGCTCCATTGATTCTAACAACCAGCTCTTTGCACCAGGAGGGCGACTGAGCTGGGGCAAGGGTAGCAGTGGGGGCTCAGGAGCCAAGCCCTCAGATGCAGGTATGGAGGCCACTGTAAGGAGTGGGCAATGATTAATTTGGGCTCCCTTGTGGAAGGCTTTCAGTATCTGTGGTTAGGTAATGAAAAGGTGGGTAGGTGGTGCCTTTACCGTCAGCACTGAGGCTAAGTGTCTTAACCTGTCAGGTAGGCAGAATGCAAGAAAGTAAGAAGAGCTCTTAATCTGAGCTCTCTGTCTCCTTAGCATCAGAATCTGCTCGTCCAGCTACTAGTACCTTGAATCGCTTCTCAGCCCTTCAACAAGCAGTACCTACAGAGAGCACAGATAACAGACGTGTAGTGCAGAGGTAAGCTTTCCCAGGTCTGTCTTTTTACACTAAGCATACAGTGATTAGGTTTTGGTTATCAAAGTGTGGGAGTTCCTCATACCTGTAATGCTTGCAGCTCCTGGCTGAGATTGAATATGTGTGTGTGTGTGTGTGTGTGTGCACGTTTTTTTTTTTTTTTTTGGTACTGGGGATCAAACTCATGACCATGCCCTTGCAAGGTGGGCGCTTAGGCCATAAGATAAAATCCCCAACCCCAGATTGAATATATCTTGATGCCAAGAACAAAGCCTCGAGGTGGCAGGGCAGTTGAATAATTACACCAGTGTACCTCTCTCTGTTTCAGGAGTAGCTTGAGCCGGGAACGAGGTGAGAAAGCTGGGGACCGGGGAGACCGAGTAGAGCGGAGTGAACGGGGTGGTGACCGCGGTGACCGATCTGATCGTGCACGGACACCTGCCACCAAGAGAAGCTTCAGCAAGGAAGTGGAGGAGCGGAGTAGAGAGCGGCCTTCCCAGCTTGAGGGACTGCGTAAGGCGGCAAGCCTCACCGAGGACCGGGACCGGGGCCGGGACACTGGTGAGGGGCCAGGACAGAAGTAGGGGTGGGGGGCTGCTGGCTAGTCTGGGATGAGCTGGCCCCAGTTCTCAGGAGCTCCAGATTGTGTGCACTGAGAAGACTGGAACTGAAGACTGTCTTGCCCTGCAGTGAAGCGGGAAGCCGCGCTCCCCCCAGTGAGCCCCCTGAAGGCTGCACTCTCCGAGGAAGAGCTGGAGAAGAAGTCCAAGGCCATCATCGAGGAGTATCTCCATCTCAATGACATGAAGGTGAGCAGGATGGGCCCTGGCTGGTGTGTGGGCTGCAGGGTCTGGACCAGGAGGTGAACACTGCCGTGCTCTGTCCTCAGGAAGCAGTGCAGTGTGTACAGGAGCTGGCCTCGCCCTCCCTGCTCTTCATCTTTGTGCGGCACGGTGTCGAGTCCACGCTGGAACGCAGCACCATCGCTCGAGAGCACATGGGGAGGCTGCTGCATAGGCTGCTGTGTTCCGGGCTCCTCTCCACTGCCCAGTACTACCGAGGGTAGGGCAGCCTTGGGGGACATCTGGGGTCATGCATTAAGGGTATGGGCTCAGAAATTCCAGTGAAACCTACTGGTGGCGAGATGAAATGGTGAGGGTAAGAACGTGGGCCTTAGCTTGTTGTAATTAGCCAATGTCCATGTCTAGAAAGTGTTCCTGGAGGTTCACACAGTTGCTCCTTAGTGGCTGTACAGGGTGGGGGCCTAGCTTCCTTTCCCACAGTGTCCATTGAATTACCTCTGCAGGCTGTATGAAATCCTGGAATTGGCTGAGGACATGGAGATTGATGTCCCCCACGTGTGGCTTTACCTAGCAGAACTGGTCACACCCATGCTGCAGGAAGGTGGAGTGCCCATGGGCGAACTGTTCAGGTAAGCTCTCCTGGTGCACTGTGGAGAGGTAGAGGCTAGAGGAGATGGGTGGGAGCTCTGGCAGAGCAGACACCTGCCTGGAGAGGGATGGAGGAGGTGGAGCCCGTCAATGCCAGGGTTTTTTTCTTGTAGGGAGATTACAAAACCTTTGAGACCCTTGGGCAAAGCTGCTTCCCTCTTGTTGGAGATCCTGGGCCTCCTATGCAAAAGCATGGTGAGTGGGCCTTTCAAAGGGTGACGTGTTCAGGGTTTCTTTTGGTTGCTCCTGGTGACTATGAATCCTTAATCCTTATGGTATTGGTGGCAGAACTATGTTGGTACCTGAGCGGAAGTGTTAAAGTGGGCAGTCCCCTTCAGAAAGTTCCCGTCATGACTTCTGGTCAGGCTGGAGGAGAATGGCATGTAAGCCCTCACTTCCATGATTCATTTGTTCGTTTAATTTGTTCAGCTTTATGTGTGATTGTGTTGCTAGAAATGAAACCCAGGGCCTTGTGCACGATAAGCAAATGCTGTGCTACTGAGTGACATCCCCAGTCCTCAGTGGTGATTCTGTGAACATTTTCTATGTTCTTAGCAGGGGAGGTTGGCACTCAATGAAACAGGTTGGTAGAGAAAAAGTAAGAATGACAGTTTAATACAAACAGCACAGGCCACGGGGATGGTGCACACCCATAATCCCAGCACTCTGGAGTCTGAGGCAAGAGGACTGCTACGAGTTTGAGGCCAGCCTGGGCTGCATAGGGAGTCTGTCTGAAAAAAAAACTACCTAAATAAATACAAATATGAAGTGTTAAGTAACAGTTGAATCAAAGTGGCTTCAGAACAGTGAGGTTGCAGCGTCTGGCAGTGTTTGTGACAGGCTGAAGATGCAGAAAGGCATGCTGGGTGGGGTGCTTAGCAGCAGCCAGCAGTTACACTGTGCAGGAGCAGGATCGAAGCTGTCGGGTGAAGTGCACAGATCTGCTTCTGAGGGGATGTGTGTGTTGGTGGCTTGTACATGCTGCTAAGTTTCAAGAAAGAAAAAGCCATACCTAACAAGTCACCTGTTCCTATAAGCAAACATTGGTTTCTTAGGATAATGAAAAACCAAGCTGTTCTAGAAAAAGAAACAATGGGAGATGGTAGGATGAGATACTTGTGTTTGGTTTGGTGGTCTTTTTAAAAATGTGTTTGTTTGTTTGGAGACAGCCTGGCTCTGTAATTCAGATTTGGAGACAGCCTGGCTCTGTAATTCAGATTGCAAGCCTTGAGTTCATGTATCCCAGGCTTGCAATCTGTGGCAATCCTCTTGCCTCTGGAAAATTTTTATTAGTGTTTATACTGCATAATGATTGCTTTCATTGTGGGGAATTGGTGTGTATATATAATGCATTTTAATTCTTTTTATGCTCCCTTTCCCCGTTTGCCTTTTGAGGTCCAGTGTTTTCATTCAGAATTTTGCATAAGCTAACTGATATTTTTCCTGGAGACTCTTTAGATGATGCCCCACCCTAGTGTCAGAGCATTACGGTAGTGAGGACTTGTTCATTTGGGTGTTGATTTGACAGGGGCTGTCTGTGCCCTGCACTAGATGAGGGCGTGGGAGGGCTGTGGTACCTCTGTAACTGCCTCAGTTCTTTGTAGGTACCTGGCAGCCTTCTAGTTAAAGTATTAGTTGGATGACTGTTGTGGAGGTGTTGGGTGTTGGACAGAGAGATGGTCGGTTACTGAGTTGAAACTATTTTCCAGGGTCCCAAGAAGGTGGGGATGCTATGGCGAGAGGCTGAGCTCAGCTGGAAGGAATTTCTGCCCGAAGGCCAAGACGTTAATGCATTTGTTGCTAAACAGGTTTGGGACTGGAATTTGGTTATTTCTAATATTTGAGTCTTACTTTCCCTGATCTCCTGCATGGTGCACTTGACCTCTTGACCGTGACCTTTTTGATTACAGAATGTGGAGTACACCCTGGGAGAGGAGTCAGATGCCCCTGGGCAGAGGGCACTCCCTTTAGAGGAGCTGAGCAAGCAGCTGGAGAAGCTGCTGCAGGAGGGCAGCAGTAATCAGCGGGTGTTTGACTGGATAGAGGTGTGTTTCTCCTCTGCTGGGGGAGGGCTAGAGGAGAGGTGTTTCTGGGCTAGGGTGGGAGGTGGCAGAAATGATGACTTGGGCTTTTGTTTCTCCTGCACAGGCCAATCTGAGTGAGCAGCAGACAGCATCCAACACATTAGTTCGAGCCCTCATGACAGCTGTCTGCTATTCTGCAATTATCTGTAAGAGAAGCTGGGGCAGGGGTGGGGCCAGCAGAGGAGTGGAAGGAACCGTTTCAGTCTCCACCTCCTAGGGCTGAAGCAGGTTAACGCTGTAGTGTTCCACTTGTCCTTGTCCTCATTTCTGTAGTTGAGACCCCTCTCCGAGTGGATGTTGCGGTGCTGAAAGCGCGAGCTCGACTGCTACAGAAATACCTGTGTGATGAACAGAAGGAGCTGCAAGCGCTCTATGCCCTCCAGGCCCTTGTAGTGACACTAGAGCAACCCCCCAGTAAGCCAGGCTGCAGGAGGGTTGGGGGTGGGGTAAGGGTAGGGGGGCTGGCAGGTGAGAGGGGTGGTCAGGGAAGGAGGTCAGTCCAGGAACTATGGGCAGTCATTAGGGAGCAAAATACCCTAATGGTTTGCTTCCTTCCTCCTTTGTTTTCTTGCTTGCAAGTGGAAGTAGTGTCTGCCAGGCGTGAAGGTTAATTTGTGCCTAACCAGCAGTGCAGAGATGGTAACCATAGCATCTCTCTGATACTCTGTGTGCTCCTGTGCCTTGCACAAGGCTGAAATGACTTATCTTGAATCCCTATATCTTCGCAGCTGTTGTTTAGGGTTGGGTGGTGTTAACCCAGCTTTCACATCGGAAGACTGAGGCTTAGGTTATAGTCTGAAATTGGGCATTGGGATAATTGCAGCACAGCAGTTGAGCACAGTTCAAGTGCTGGCCATGTGTCCAGTGGCCGTGTGAGTGATGGGTGTTGGAAGGGGGCAGTTGGCTAAGTGACAGGTGGGAAGGGGGCCCTGTGAATGAAGGCAGGTTCTGAGGGGGCAAGAGATTGGCATGGGGAAGAGCTGCCAAAGGCAGGCCGTGTGGGAGAACCCAGTGCCAGTCAAGAGTGAGGCCACAGCAAATGCTTTAAAGGGGCCTCAGAATTTGGTTTTAGGTCAGTGACTGCTAAGAAAGATATGGAGTGGCCTGAGAGTGAATGGCAAGATGAACACTAGTGGTTTTGTTTACCCTGGTGACAGCAGAGATGGAGGAGTGAGCAGAGACCAGATTCAAGACATATCTAGGAGGTAGAGTAGTCAAGAGCTTGTAGCCATACTGATCTGGAGAGATGCTGTGAGAGGTCAAAAATCAATCACAAATGGAGGTGGCCCTGGGCATGGCTCTGGGAGGCCAAGGCAGGAGAATCCAAAGTTCACAGCCAGTTTGGGCAACTCAGACCCAACATAAAACGGATGCAGGGATAGGGTGGGGTGGGAGGCAGCTGCACCCACAGGCAGTTTGGAGACTTAGGGGGGTGGGTTGTCCCAGCATGCAGCTTTCAGACAGCCTAGGCCCTTTCGCAGTGATGGCAAACCTTTCGGGGTTCAACAATGCAAGAAGTCCACTGTAGCACTGGTGCCATAAGGTCTACACAACTGGCCTCGGGTTTCTTCTGGGGGCTGGACCTAAGACACTGTGCTTTATTCACATTGAGGAAAATCTCAGGAATGTATGATTTGGTTTGGAAGGGCTGCAGTGCAGTATGGGCATGGGAAGGGGGTTGCTTCCGGGGTTCTAGGGCTAGTGCAGTGGCCGGAGGAAGGGCAGATGAGTTACCAGGAAGGTGACAAAGGAAAGGCTAGAGAAGGGAGGGTTCAGGAGTAGTGTAGGAAAAGTGGAAAGGAGTCAAGGATTTATTTCAGGGGCCAGTGGCTTTTCCACATTATACTCTTCACATTTGTGAGTGATACATCTGGCATTTTTGAGTCCCCACAAAGGGGTGCACCTATTGTGCGCATAGTTAACCCCTGTTAAACATAGTGGAGAAGTTTGAAACTGCCAAGGTGAGTTGGGCAAGTTTGTAAGATTTTTGATGGCCAGGTGACTCATGCCCTGGGTACCAGTCTCTTGGATCATGAGATTAGCACCCTGTCAGAGACCTAGTTACTCTGTAATGTTCAGGCGCAAATGGTGCTTGGGACAGTTTAGTGTGGCTTTGTGGCCCTCTGACTGCTTCCCGATGCTTTGCAGACTTGCTTCGGATGTTCTTCGATGCGCTGTATGACGAGGACGTGGTGAAGGAGGAAGCATTCTACAGTTGGGAGAGCAGCAAGGACCCCGCCGAGCAGCAGGGCAAGGGCGTGGCCCTGAAGTCGGTCACAGCCTTCTTCAACTGGCTCCGGGAGGCAGAGGAGGAATCTGACCACAACTGAGGGCGGGTGGGGCTGGGGACTTGAGCCCCATGGACGCGCTGATGGCCCGGCCAGCCGCCTGGACTGCAGGGGCGGCAGCAGTGGCGGTGGCAGCAGGTGCCTGTAGTGCGATGTGTCTGAGCTAATAAAGTGGCTGAAGAGGCAGGATGGCTTGGGGCTGCTGGGGCCCCCTCCAAGATGCTGCCAGGTGTCCCTCTCTTTCCCCTGGGGGCACAGAGATATATTATATATAAAGTCTTGAAATTTGGTGTGTCTTGAGGGGGGGCACTGCTGCCTGCCCCTGAGGTCCTTTTTTATTTTCTGAAAATCACTCTTGGGACTGCCGTCCTCGCTGCTGGGGGCATATATGCCCCAGCCCCTGCACCACCCCTGCTGCTGCCTGGGCAGGGGGAAGGGGGGGCACGGTGCCTGTAATTATTAAACATGAATTCAATTAAGCTCACTGCCTCTGCTTTGTGGCCTGCTCCCTTCGGAGAAGGGTAAGGATTGGTGGGCCACTTACTCTCCAGAGGTGGCACTGGTCCTGTAACTTGGCACCCTTCTGCCTCTTTCCCTGTCCCTGGTGGGTCTGGCGAGCCAAGGATAGGGTGCTGGGGGCTTGATTGTGTCCTTGGCTCACAGGGGACGGGAGCCCAGGGTGCTCATTGGAACATCCTTGCAGGCCTGCAGGGTGCGCTCCAGCCCAGTGCACCAAGGCTGTTTCCAGGCCCGGCCTAGCTAGCCAAATCCGTTTTAGACTCAAGGTGTCCAGCTTGTAATGAGGGGCTAGTCCACGAGGTGTTTTGTCCTCAAGACTCCTGACAATTTCTGCTTCGCGACCCTGCAGGCTGGCGGGGGGTGGGTGGGGGCGGGCGCACGGGGCTGGGACCAGGTGGTGGCTTCCCCTGCCCAACCATGACGTAGCCTGGCCCCGCCTGCTCTGGGAGGGGACGCGGGTGGCCACGCCCATGTTCTGACGTCACTGGCCCGCTTCCCTCTCCCGGGAGCGGCGCGGACGACGGCTCCCTCCCCCCTCACGGGCGGTCCCCTCCCCGGCTCGGCCGCGGCCTGACCCTCGGCAAGGCGATGGCCTGGGCCCCGAGCGTGCTTGGGTGCCCGGCCCTGGGCTGCGTTGGCTCTCGGAGCCCGGCGGGTCAGGGTAAGCGGACCGGGGCGTCGGGCTACGGCCGCCGCGGGGATGGGCCTTGAGGAGGGGGCCGCCGCGCCGGGAGAGGGCGGAGCCTGCACGGGGTGGGGGGCGGGCCAGACGGAGGCCGCGGAGGCGGGGAGGGGGCTGCCTACCTCTGGCCCTTGAGGGGAGGCCAGAGCCTCGGGAGGGGCCCCCGCCCACACCCTGCTGCCTGCGCCTGCCTCTTGGCAGGCGCGGTTCCCCTCCCGGAGTCCCCCGCCGGCACTCTCCCTCGCACATGCTGGTCCCTTCAGAGGCAGCTGGTTGACCAATGGACCTGTGAGCATCTGACCGTCTCTCACCTCTTACAACTGTGTGTGTTTCTTCCTTCCATCTCTGCCTAAAACAAGTCACCTTGGCTGTGCAGACAGAGGCCCCAGAGGAAAGCCATCGGGCATCCATCCCACGGCTGCCAACCCCTGCGTGGGCCTTGCTTCCCTCGGATGGCGATGCACACGGAGGCCTGGCCTTAGCCTGTGCCCGTGAGGTCTGCCAGCTTGTTCCCCTTCACTTCCTGAGTTGCATTAGAGCCTGAGGCCCGGCAGGGACCGCTGGGGTTACACTGGGTCTTCAGGGCAGGCGCTCAGAGCCACACAGGCCTTAGTGTGCTTGGTGCTTCTAGAGGTTCTTCAGAGCTAAACTCTTGTTGAGATTTGTGCTTGCCTTGAGGAATTGTGGGATTTGGAGTCCTAATTAACCTCATGGCTTTTGAGGCTGAGAAGCACCAGGCTGCTCTGGTCCTTGTGGCCTGCTTGGAGTTCAGGAAGTCATCCCGTCCTGTAGTGTGAGGGGAGTTTGGCTAAGCTCAGGACTGGCCTTGAGAGCCCTGGTCCAGGACCAGCTGGGGGCCGGGATGGCCTGTAACCAACTGTCTTCCTTCTGGTTGGTAGCATTTCTGAGGACCACCAGCTGGCTGAGGCTCAGGGACAGAGACCGCTGCTCCAGCTAAAGGTCAGTTATGATATGCGTGGCCTGCTGGCACTGTCTAGGGATGGGCCATGGCTCCCCATCCCCCAGAGAGCTCAGCTAGGCCTCCGGCACTCCCACCTCCTCAGAGCCACGAGGCAGGAGTGTTCTCCTTATGTGACTAGGCACAAGTTCCAAGTGGGGAGGGGACTGGCTCAGCATCCGGAGCCAAAACAGGAATAGAACTGGGAGCTGAGCCTGGAGCGGTTCTGGGCTTTTGGTTCTCTGCATCAACACAGCCAGCATGCCTATGATTTCTGTGCTGGGCAAAATGTTTCTGTGGCAGCGTGAAGGGCCTGGAGGACGGTGGACTTGTCAGACAAGTCGCAGAGGTGAGACGAGGGACCGGTCTGATATGATCCGGAAAGTGATGGGAGGCAAGGAGTAAGGTGCTTAGATGGCGAGAGGAAATTTACTGTGGCTTAGGTGTTGGGAACCAGGCTGGAAGAAGACCCAGGCTGGTGCCAGAGAGGGCATCTAGAGAAGGCTTCGGGACAGGGATGAAAATCAGAAAAACAAAAAAGCTTCTGTGAGGAAAGAATGATAAAGTGCTGCAAGTAGCCAAGACTGGGGGAACCTAAGAACCTAGGTAGCGGGTGGAGAGCAGGCAGGCAGGGAGCTACAGAGGGTTGGGGTTTCTGCTGTGGAGGAGAATATAGTGTGTTTTCCAAGCGGTATGGCCAGGCTGAGAACCTGGGCGAAGATTCAGAATTTATGCACTTGGGTTTCTCCCCTAGAGTTCTGATGGCAAAATATTTATAGGAAATAAAAATATTTGTGGAGGAGGAAGGTGGCCACAAAAACAGCTCCAGGGTTAAACAGGATTGGGAAGACACCAGGTGGTGGCTGGGAGGTGGGGGAGGGGACGGTAAGAAATGACCCTTGGCATCGCCGGATATAAACGGGGGATCTTGATATAAGTGGGGCCCTAGCTGAACAGCCTTTCGTCCACCCCGCAGTGGCCTCGGACCCCGCGTGGGCTGTGGAGTGGATTGAACTTCCGCGTGGCCTGTCTCTATCCTCTTTGGGATCTTCTCGGACCCTCCGAGGCTGGAGCCGGTCCTCCCGTCCTTCCTCAGTTGACAGCCAGGACTTGCCAGAGGTGCTGGGTCCTGGTGTTGGGGGTGGTAGTGATGCTGCAACTACATCCCGGAGCTTTGTGTTCCCCACCCCCGCCTCACCAGCCTGCCTCGGGCTCCCTTTTCCTGCTCGCGGAGGCGCTATCCGGCCTGAGGGCCGCGAGGCCGCCCCCGCACCGGTCTGCTCTGCTCGGCTCAGTGCCAGCGGGGCGGGTTTGCTCAAGCTGACGTAAGCGCATCCCCGGCTGTATCCCAGGAGACCCTGTTGCATGGTGATGGGTTGCCAGGGAGACATACACCTTTTCTGTGGGCCTGGGCCGCAGCTGCGCGGAGAGGCAAACACGGATGGCGGTGGCGGCCAGGGAGAGCAGGAGCAGGGAGGGACAGCAAGACAGGAAACACCCCGCAGGTGCTCCTCCCCCCAGGCCTGGCCAGGGGGCTCTGTCAGCCAGGTACTAACTGGGAAGGACAGAGGGTGGGCCTTAGGGTCAGGAGGCTGACAAGACTGCTCTGGTGCTGGGTAGGAACGTGATGGGGAGTTAGTGCTGGGGAGAGGGGTGTGCCTCCATTCAGGGAGGAAAGCATTCTCTGGGGGCTGGTCAAGGAGCCAGGCACAAGTGGAGTTAGGAACACAGGCATGTCGGACTTAGGCCCTGACATCCAGGGCTCCCTTAGAAGCCATGAAAGGATGTGGGGGCTGGGAGGGAGGAAAGCACCTGTCGGCCAATAGCATTATGAGGAAGTGGCACCTTAGACTTGAAGTGACAGGGAGTGTTTTGTCAGGCAAGGATGGTCTTCTTGGCCAAGGGAACACTGGGTTCTCCAAGAGGAAGGGGAAGGTGAGGAGTGGGTGGTAATTGGTGGTAGATGGCAAGATCTGCAGGAGGTAGAGGCCTCACAGACTAGGGCCTTGAGGGCCTGCATTCATGTCATTGGACAGGAAGGATTTTAGTAGAGATATGCTGTGACCCACTGCACTCCAGGAAAACTGTTTACATTTATACCTTGTCACTCTCATTTGGCTTGTGCATTTTGAGAGCTTATTCTGTATTAGGCACCATGCTAAACACTGGGGTGTAGCAGTGACCACAATAGACACAATCAACCAGACAGTCCAACAAGAAAAAGGAAGCACATGGGCTGTAATTACCTACTGTGAGTCAGGGCCACAGTCTGGCACATTGATGTGAGACAGTGATCTGGTGGGGACTACAGAGGGAGAAGAGATCACAGGCAGGATGTCTCTGGAGACTTCTTTGAGGGGTGATATTTGGCCCGGCCTGGAAGGATGAGAGAATTAGCCAGCCATGGGGAGAGAGGGAGAGAGAAGAAATCCACACACATTTGGGGCTAAGAAAACAGCAGAAAGCTGATTGTGGTTTTGTATGTCCATAACCCCAGCTTGAGAAGCCAAGGTGGAAGATTCACTGCAAGGTTGAGTCCAGTCTGGGCTGCATAGTGAGTTCAAGGCCAACCTGCACTGCATAGCAAGAGCCTGTCTCAAAATAAATACATAAAATTGTAAAAAGTAGCAAATAGCAGAGTTGGAGGAAGTTGAAGAAACATGATTTCTTTAACCTGGGCAGGAGCTCAAGGAGCAGCCCTCACTGAAGGTTCCAGGAAGAGGAGTGGCGGTGTGAGCACAAAGGTCAAGGTAGTATCAGAGGAGTCACTAGGATGTAACAACAGGTGTGGGCAGGAGACGTTTAGCGAACAGTTCATGGCAGTGCTGAGGTTTGGAGCCAGTCCGAATGGGAAAATGGTGAAGTGTGCAAAATAAAGAAGTTGAGAAGCAGGGCCATGAGTGGGGAGAAGGTGTTGCATTGATTTTGGTTTTGCTGAATTTGTGGCTGGGGACAGCTAGAATGTGGATCTGAAGACAGGAGGAATGCAAAGGGGAGAGGACCTTTAAGAAGCCCCTGATGTCATACTCTTTTTCCCTACTTCCTCGTCCTTCTTCTGGGAGCCCCTTGATTCCTCACTTCCTGGTGTGCCTGCTGGGGGCTGAGAATGTGGAGGGTTGGCTACACTTCTCTTCCCTTGGGCCTGCCCAAGTTGCCAGTGCTCCCTGTGAGGGCACTTTGCCGGTGTAGCTTCTTATCTTGTGCTTGCCAGCAGCTGCTGGAGCGAATGTGCCTCCCAGACCTCCTTCCCACCTCCCATGCCCCCTGATACCTGTGAGCGAGGGGTGTGGTCACTGCTGCCAGAGGGGCACTCACCTTCTGATTGTGTCACTCAAGGTGAATGTTGGAGACACAGTCGCGATGCTGCCCAAGTCCCGGAGAGCCCTAACCATCCAGGAGATTGCTGCTCTGGCCAGGTCTTCCCTGCATGGTATGCACCTACCTCTCCTGCCTCTGGCCACTTTGTTTCTTCTTCCTTTTACACCTGCCTTTTGGGGCCGTTTCCTGTGGGTGCTTGCTGGGATCACCTTCCTTGCCTCCCAAAGGCCCAACTTGGATCCTAACTGTGGCTGCCTTTGCTTCCCTGGCCGGTTCCCTTATCAGGCCTCTTTTTCCCTTCACTTCCAGGTATTTCCCAGGTGGTAAAGGACCACGTGACCAAGCCCACGGCCATGGCCCAAGGGCGAGTGGCTCACCTCATTGAGTGGAAGGGCTGGAGCAAGCCCAGTGATTCTCCTGCTGCTCTGGAATCAGCCTTTTCCTCCTATTCGGACCTCAGCGAGGGTGAACAAGAGGCTCGTTTTGCAGCAGGTGGGTGACACAAAAGAAGGTAGCAGCACAGTTGTCATAGGGCTGCTGCCTCTGATCTTGCTGGGGGTTGAGTCTTTCCTTCCCATCTGCAAGCTGAGCCTTTGTCTTAGCTCAGCAACTCTGTTCATGAATTCTACCAGGGATGCAACTCAGCGGCACAGCACCTGCCTTGAAAGGGCAAGGTCTTGAGTTCGATTCTTGGTACCAAAAAAAAAAAAAAGTAAAAATGAATTCTGTGTCCCAACAGGAGTGGCTGAACAGTTTGCTATTGCAGAAGCCAAGCTCCGAGCATGGTCTTCGGTGGATGGCGATGACTCCACCGATGACTCCTACGATGAAGACTTTGCTGGGGGAACTGACGCAGGTGAGGGGTGTTTTGTGCTCAAGCTGAGAGCTGAAGTGGATCTGCCTAATTGGTCTGAGACTTAGAGCCACACCCCGAGCACCTGCAGGCTTTGGGGGGCGGGGGAGCGAGGGGGCAGACTGGGCAGACCTGGACACTTAGAGGTGGGAAGTCAGCAGCTGGAAATGGAGTGTGTAGTTCCTTTCCCACAGGTGCGGAGCCTCCACCCGAGCACGCAGGTGGGCCTTGCAGTGCTCAAAAAAGGTGGGGGGACTCATGTAGCTATGTCTCTGCAAGGGGCCACAGTGCCCTTGCTTTAACTCTTGATGGCTGTGGTGGGACAGATGAGCCTCGGTGCAGTGGCACAGCCCTCACAAGGCACCAGCCCCAGACAAACAAAGGACATGCTGGGTCTGTGCTCCCCCAGCGCTGCTGGCTCCAGCTCAGCATCCATGCATTCCAGGGGCAGCGCTTGCTGAGGGGACCCTGTGGGGCTGTGCAGCTGTGCTCGGTGCTCTTTCATCTTCCCTTGCCTGGGCTGCTCAGCTGAGTTTCTCTGAAGCTTCTGGGTCCCAGCCTCACAGGACCCCTGCCCCCACCTCCTTGCCTTTGAAGATTGCCTTCACTAGTTCCCACTCCTCTGGCGAATTAAGCAGTGCTCGCACACTAGAGACAACCAGAGACTGCTGCTGTGGTCCAGAGGGTACTGACTTGGATGCTCAAGACCAAGTTGGAACCCCAGTCACAGGCATTTTTGTTTACTTGAATTGCATAATGATAATCCAAGGTTGCTGCTAGCCCATGGGGAACCATGGAGCAGTTATAAAAAGACCTCTGCTTCCTCCAATGGGCTTAGCCCCATGCCAGGCCTGCTACTTGGTGAGTAGAGTGGGCTGAATTGCAGTCCTCACTCATTGCTCTGTGCGTGAGTGACCTGCAGGGCCATACACCTTGGCCCCTCGTTGATTGCCTGCTTCCTTTGTGCCACACTATTGTTCTTTCCACAGCCCCACAAGGTAGGTAGGATTAAGAATCCCTGATTCACCCAGAAGGGAAATAAAGCAGCTAAAATCAGGACTTGCCCTAGGTCCCCAGCTCCCGTCCAGCCCCTACTCCTGGAGCTCCTGGAGGATAGGAGGGGCTGGGGTGCTTGGCTTCCAGGTTGGTCAGCTGAAATGGGGTTAGCAGAGCTGTCTTCGTTTCTCTCTCCTCTTCCCTCACAGATATGGCCGGGCAGCTGCCCCTGGGGCCTCATCTCCAGGACCTCTTTACTGGCCGCCGGTTCTCCCGGCCTGTGCGCCAGGGCTCCGTGGAGCCCGAGAGCGACTGCTCGCAGACCGTGTCCCCAGATACCCTGTGCTCCAGCCTGTGCAGCCTGGAGGACGGGTTGCTGGGCTCCCCAGCCCGCCTGACCTCCCAGCTGCTGGGTGATGAGCTGCTCCTCGCCAAACTGCCCCCCAGCCGGGAAAGTGCCTTCCGTAGCCTGGGTCCTCCGGAGGCCCAGGACTCGCTCTACAACTCGCCCCTCACGGAGTCCTGCCTTTCCCCTGCTGAGGAGGAGCCGGACCCTTGCAAGGACTGCCAGCCGCTCTGCCCACTGCCAGCGGGCAGCTGGGAACGGCAGCGGCAAGCCTCTGACGTGGCCTCTTCTGGGGTGGTGTCCTTAGATGAGGATGAGGCAGAGCCTGAGGAACAGTGATCAAGTCCTGTCCGCTGTTGGCCCGTGTCCCCCGGCTGTTGCTGGGGGCGAAGCCTCTGCGCCCAGGTGTGGGCTGGGGCGCTCCCGGGAGCACTCACTTCTCCATTGTGTGTTTTGCATGAAAGTGTTCGGAGAGGAGGCAGAACCGGGCTGGGGGGCGCATGTCCTGCCCCCGTGCCTGGGGCTTGCCGGGGTGTTGCCCGGGGCCCCTGTGGCATGGCTACAGCTGTGGCAGACAGTGATGTACCTGTTCTTCAGTCCCAGACTTGCCACATTTCCTCCTCAGATGATGTGAGCTCCTGAGGGGGCATTGGGACTGGGCTGTAGGGGGCAAGGAGGGCTGGAGCTGGCTGCCTCCTCCCCTCCCCTTGCCTCTCTGCTTCTCTTGTTCACCTGGAGTCCATGTGCCGTGCTTGATAGAACCACCTTCCTGGGGGCCCAGCTCCTGCCTGCCCGGAGCCCAGGCATCGAGCCGTCCCGAGGGCCCCTGACCAGCCAAGCTTGTGCTGTGCTTCACCTCTCCATCGTCTCTAAATCTTTTTTCTTCCTAAAGACAGAGGGTTTCTGGTCTTTTCTTTTAGTTGGATCTTCTCAAGTAGGTACTGGAATGATGAATTCATCTCCTGGGCTCCCCAGGGATGTGCAAGTACCCTAGGAGTTCACAGGGCAGTGGCCTTGGGTTTTTCCCGAGGCATGGCTTTGATGTTCTAGAAAGGGCTATGCGGGGGCCACCTGGCGGCCGGGGAGTTGTCAGCAGATGCCTCTGCCAGGCCAGGATTGTGCCACTGACAGTCATGAGGGAATGCCTCTCCTCTCCCCGGGAAGGAGGGTCGTGCCTTTCGTGGCTGGGGCTACTGTAGTATTAATGACCAAGCCGTGGTGGCTACTGGCACATTCTGTATTCAAGGGCAGGGGGCTCCAGGGTTGTATGGTGTGCGTAGGGTAAAGGGGCTGCAGAACTAGGAGCCCTGTAGGCTTTGGAGGGTAAGAGGATCCAAGGTAAGCACGAGAGCCAGTGGGCACAAGCATTCTATACACAAGTGGCTCATTAGGTGTTTATTTTGTTCTATTTAAGAATTTGTTTTATTAAATTAATATAAAAATCTTTGTAAATCTCTATATACATCTGGTCATTGGAGGTTCCAGTATAAAATCCATCTTAGTTCTGTTTCTTTTCCCCTCAAAGGGGAAACAGGAGCTACTTGACCCTGCCTGTGTCTTGCCCAGGGCCTGGAGAGCTGCTGGGTTGGGCTCCAGGCAGGATAGACTGGGGGCAGCCAGCACCCACGTCTGGATGGAGGGCTTGGGCTCTGGCCTCTGGCTGCTTCCTGCTCTCTCAATGCAGTAGGAAAGCCATCGAGAGGTTCACTGGCACTTGTCATCACTGTCAGAAGGGCTGCCATCTCTGGGGAGCCCATGGCAGGAGTGCGGTCCCCAGAGTGCATGCACCTCTGTGGTCTCCGTGTCACTGCTGCTGGTGGCACTGTCTCGGAAGCTGGCGAGGGGCGGCCGGACTTTCACGCCCTGGGCTGTGACGGAGCCCTCGATAGCCTTCCGGAGCTGAAGAGGTGAGAGGCTCAGAAATTTGGATTTGGAGCTCCCTGCCCAGCCTCCTTTCCAGGACTTGTCCAAGAGGACTGGACATGAGCTTCCTCAGCTCTCTGGATGTGGAAATGGCTTTGGTGGCCACTGTCATCTTACCTCCTTGAGGGTAACGATTCCAATGAGCCTGCCAATACTGGTGACGTAAGCATGGTCCACTCCCAGGAGTGAGAAGATGGTGTGAGTCTGCAGGGTGAGGAGGAAACATTGGGCTTGATTTCCAGGGGCAGCTCTAAGTCACAGGCCACAGGGGCCCAGGACCGGGTGGGGGTGGGGCAGAAGGGGTGGCACAGATGGTTGACGGGAGAGGACTGCACTGCGGGGAGGAAAATGACAGAATGTAACTGTGCCCTGAGGCAGTGGAACTTAGCTGACACTCTTCTATTGCCCTTCTTAAGGGCTTACTTTCATCTCCTGTTTTTCTTGCTTTGAACCCTCCTGCAAGCTTTCAGATGTGACTGCCAAGGGTTCAGAAATGGTCCGACAATTCCCCTTGTGCGTAAGTGGATTTTCTTAGGCCAAATGTCTTGAAAACGGCTCTCCTGACTCAGCAGTTCCAGGAATCTGGGCCTGGAGTTTATCTCACTGTATCCAGTTTACTTATAAGCCTCTTGGCTTAATGGGTGAATCAAGATGAGCAGTAATAAGGCAACTTCTTGAGTTCTGATAAGTCACAGCTCATTTAAGTTGACGTAACACTTTTTCTTTCTTTTTTTTTTTTTTTTTTGGCAGTAGTGGGAATTGAACACAGCAAGAGCCACATCCTCAGCCCTTTTTTCTTCTGAGACAAGTTCGCGATTAATTGCCGAGGCTGGATTCAAACTTGAGATCCACTTCCCTCAGCCTCCCAAGTAGCTGGGATTAAAGGCTGTGCTGCCAAACCCTGCCATGCTTTTTTCCTTTCTTTTTTGAGATAGGGTTTTGGTGGGCTATTTACATAGTCCAGGCTAGCCTTGCACTGTGTAGCCCAGGTTGCCCCATATCTTGTGGTGATCCTCCTGCCTCAGCCTCTTGTGTGCTGGGATTGTAGGCTTGTGCTACCACACCTGGGTTTTGCCTTATTTTATGGCCAAATAATTCCTCTTCACTTCTCCCAAGGAGCCTATTAAACAGGACCTTTGCATTTTTCCTTTTCCCTATATCCTAACCTAGGTAAGCTTCTGCCAGGTGCTGTCCCATTTAGGTTTGCAGCCCCATGGCTGTGGCAGTTAGCACAACCTATCTGCAGACTTCCTGAGCCTGACTCAGCCTCACTGCCCTCACCACCAGGACTGGGGCCACTTTTGCTTCTCTTCTTTGTGTGCATTCTAAACCTGATCTGCGTCCAGGCTCCCTAGGATGGCCCCAGACCCTTCCCAAGGTGCCCCAGCCTGGCTTTTCAGCCTCAGGTTTAGCTTCCAGACTCACAGGGTCGCCTTTTCCTGAAAATACCCATTGTTTCCACATTTCAGCTTTTCCCTTCATGTCATCTTTTATAAAGGCCCCACTGTTGGTGGCTCCATCTAGGCAGCAGTAGGAATCCCTAACACGCACTGGACCCTTGTCGTGGGCCAGGCCCTGCTGTAAGTGCTTCCCATGTCTTAGCTCTTGGTCCTCAGACTACCCAGTGGGACACAATCCTTGGTTTATGGATGAGTGCAGCACAGAGAAGCTAAGCCATTCGCTCGGGTTACACAGCTAGCTCTCAGGTGGTGAAGTGAGGACTTCGGTTTGCCCCATCTGGCCCCGCATGGGTGGTCCCAAGGAGAGGGGCCTGGCTGCACGGATTGGCAGCTGTGTTCTCTCCTTAACTGCTGCACTTAATTGGGCTACTACTTACTGTTCTCTTAGGCCTACAGGGACATTTTGAATTTTGATCTTTTATGATCTTATCATTCCAGTGCTTTGTACTTTTGTGAGTCAGTTCCTCAAGGCTTCATCTCTTCCTCTGATTTTTTAAGTTTGTAACAAATACCCACTTTGTTCTTTTTCATTGTAATTTAATTAGCCAGCAGGGAGCCCATTGCAGGGCCTAAATTTCTTAGACTTGGGAACAGTGAACTGACTGGGACAATGTGGCTTTCTGAAAGAAGCCTGGGAGCAGGGCCAGATCTGGGTTCTGGGCCTGTCTGTGCAAAACCAATTGGGGTGAATGACCCCTCACTGGGTGCCCCTTATGTACTAAAATGGCTAAGACTACAGGTTTTTGAGTCAGCCCATCTTGCACTGGCCTAGTTCTGCTACTTCCTGGCTGTGTGACCTTAAGAAACTTGCTTAATCTCTCTGATTTTCCATTTTTTCTTAAAAACTGGAATACCACAATATTTTATAGGGTGTTTGTGAGGTTTCACTGACATTTAAAGAGATTAGCACAGTGCCTGGCACACAGGAAGTCCTCAAAAATCTCAGTATCACCATCATCATTTTAGATGTCTGAGGATTAAAGTGATCAAACAGTGTGGCAATGGCTTTAAAAGTTTTAGGAAGAAAATCTTTTTTTTTTGGTACCAGGGATCGAACTCACAACCGCACACTTGTCAGGCAGATGGTTATGCTGCTGAGCTAAATGCCCAACAAAAAACTTTAGATAAAAGCCTAATTTACTATCTTTGGCCTACCTCCTTTGCACTTTGGTTTGTTTTTCTCTTTGATGGTACTGAGAATTAAACTCAGAAAACACTGAGCTATACCCCAGCCCTTTCTTTTTTTTTTTTTTTTTTTTTTTTGAGACAGGGTCTCACTATGTAGCTCTGCCTGGCCTGGGACTCATAGTAATCCTCCTGCCTCACTCTTCGGATTGCCAGCATGCCTGGTCTCTTGTCTAGTATTTTGAGGCAGGATCTTGCTAAATTGCCAAGTTTGGCCTCAAACTTGTGATCCTACTGCTTCAGCCTCCACAGTAAGCATGGATTACAGGCGTGTGCAGTGGCTTCCTGCTCACTTTGATCTGAGGGACTTATCTCCAGGCTAGCAAATTCCTCACTGCAGTTTGCTTTTGTGGTTCTCCTCTGTCTCCTGTCCTTCCTGTTCTGACAGCCACCCAAACTGAGGATCCTGACTGTCCTCTCTTCCCTGAATCCCCTGTCCTCAAGAGAGGTCTGCACATTGCAAATTTAGCTAAGGGTTTGGGGATGTGGCTCAGTGGTAGAGCTGTGCTTGAGGTCAGGGTCTGCTTCCCGGTTGGGAGTAAACTACCCCTTGCCTTTGCTGCGTGTATCCCTGCCCTCACTGAGCTTAGGTGCCTGATCGTGCCAGCTGTCCTTCACTGGAAGCCCTGCTTTCCTCTGACATTGCCTCACCTGCTACCAACCCTCCCTGCTCCACTCCTCTCCGTTTCTGCAGCCGGTTTGCTTTTCTGCTGAGCCATCTTCCTGAATGCTTCCCAGTTTTCCTATGGCCCACATCCAGTCAGCCTTTCTGGTGTCTGACATTCCTAGCCCCCCACAGGGTGGTTTCTCATCTTGTTTATCTCTCCTCTGCAGTCTCCTCACCCCTACTTGGCTGTTGGTTAGCTTGTTTATTAGATTTTCTTATCCTGCCCCATTCTCACCCCCTTTTTTTCAGTGTGGGTGTATCAGCCTGGTCCAGCTCTGGCTAGGCCTGGCTAGGCCTCCTGCCTAGCTCTGACCCTGGCTTGGCCTTCTGGCTTCCACCCAGTTCAAGCCCTGCTTTTGTTGCTTCTTTGGTCCACAGTTCCCTGGGGGCAAGATTGAGCCTAGCAAAAAAATAAAAAGGATGCCGGGCTCCACCACGGAACAGGACATGGCTTGGGACACAGATCCCGGCCTCCCATCATCCAAAGCAGTTTGCCTGAAAAACATCTCAGCACAGAGCCTGCTCTCTCCCCCTCCTGACTCAGACTGTGGGCGGGGCGGGAGGGGCCCAGATCCCAACCCGACTCTACCTTGTGCAGGGAGGTCCGCTCCACCAGCTGGAAGGGGGCTGGATCGATCTTACAGTCACTGAAGTTGACAGGTTCATTCAGCTGCTGCTCCTCCCACTCCAGGATCTGAGGGGAAGAGACTCAGGGCTAGGGAGAACGTGCCAAAGGCTGCCATCACCTCCTCGGGCTGGTCTGCTTTTCCCCTACCCCACAGTCCCTCCCATCAGCCTGGAGGGTGGTTGCAAACACCCGGAAGGAACCAGGTCCAGAGTCCAGCAGCAACTTAACCTCCTCAGGGCTCATCTCGCCTTCCAGGTCTGCATCGTTCTAGGAAAAAGAAGGGAGGGAGTTGGGTGTCGTCTCTGCCCACCCTTCAGGCTCTGGCTCTGGGATGTTTACCCAGCCTACACCCCTGCTCTCCTGAGCTATGGGAAGAGAGGGTACACATACCGCCAGGGAGATTCGGACTCGCTTCAGCTTGCGCTTTTCACAGGATTCTGGCTTCTCCAACTTTGTCAGGGCCAAAGCAAGGACAAGAGGTGTTGAGGTTACAAGGAGAGGAGAGGCTGGGAGGAAGGACAGAGGGCAGGGGAAGAGAGAGGGCACTGCAGGATTGACAGGAGGACAGGACTCTGCGGGAGGCCACATGGAGCTGGGGGAAAAGCAAGCCAAGGAGGAGCAGCCACAACCACTCACATCAGAAGTAGCCTCGGGAGGTGGGCTGCCACAGAAGAGGCTCCTGAGGGCGATGCCTGCTGACTCCATGCTGCCTGTGTCAGCATGGGGTGGGGGCAATGTCAATGTCATCTTTGGGGAAGAGGATAGGGGAGCAGGAGGGGCAGCCCCTTCTAGCTGCCATGGACTAATTTAGCCCATGTATTCCAGTGGCCTTGCTCAGCTATCTGGGATGGGGGAGACAAGCTCACCTGTGGAAGTCTCCCCAACCTTGCTGGCATTGCTGGGCCCCCTCTTGAGAGCAGGCTTTAGGGGTTTGTGTGTCTCTCCACGGGCTGGGATGAAGGCCGAGTCTTCTGTGTTCACCTGCAGAGGCAGGAAGGAGCTGGGGAGGCTTTGGCCCCAGACCACCCTGTTCACTGCCTTCCCATCAGTCTGTACAACGACATTTCCAGAGTGTGGGTGGCTGTACCCCTCACCTGGAAGTGGACGGAGCTCTCGGGGCTGGGGAGACCATCCTGATCTGATGGTGGTGACATCTGGGCCTTTCTGCGCTCCTGCATGTGCTGCCGCCGGCGGGCTGCGCTCAACTGGGCCCCCAGCAACGTCACCACCTGTGAGCGCTCAATGGAGCCCAGCAGGATCATGGACTCTGGAGACAGCAGGTAGAAGGGCTTAGGAGCTGAGGGTGAGGCTTCCCACCCTAGGCCTTCCCCTGTACCCATTGTGGGGCCCTGGACCCAGGTGACTAAGGGGAACCAGGGAGACTGATTCTAGGTTTGTTGCCCCTTTCTCACAGGTGATCCTGGGAGACACCTGGAGAAACAAGGGTCCCTGCTGGCCTCACCAGAGGACTCCACTAGAGCCAGCATCCGGCCCTTGGTCCTGTGCAGTGCCAACCGCAGGTCCCGGAAGGTGCAGTTGAGGGCTACATAGGGAACGTCTCGAACCATGATGTCTTCTACTCGCACCCGGTACTGCCTGGGGGTAGAGTGGGCAATCAGTCTGTGGCCAGCTGAGAGTGACCCAGAGCGCCACCATGCTAGTGCCAAGAGGAAGGTTCCAGAACCTCAGGGAACAGGGACTAAAGGCCAAGGGCTCACAAGTGCTCCCCACCCTTTTTTCCAATCAGTCAGGCCAGCTACAGCACCCCTGGGGGAGGACATCTGACCAGAGAGGGCATGGCAGCCAGTCTCCCAGCTTCCCTCGCTCAGAACCTTGCTGGAGTGGTGTAGGAGAGGCTGGGTGTCCCCCGAGGCCTTTTGCGCCCTCCCACACCCCCCGACCCCCAGCCCGTACTGGTGGCGGCCCCAGCCCAGCTCAGGCAGGTAGGGCAGTTTCTTGATCCGGATGATGCTGTCGTAGAGTGAGGGCTGCAGGCTCTGGGCGACGGCGTTGGCCAGGATGACTGCGATCATGACAGGCAGGATGTGGGCGATCTGGCCGGTGAGCTCGAACACAATCACGGCCGTGGATACGGTGTGTGTCACTGCTCCGGCCAGTGCGGCCGCCCCTGGCAACAGCTCCTCTCAGTCTCCCCAAGACCCTTCAGCCCGGAGGGGAGGCAGGGCCTGTGGGGGTTCCTTAGGACTGCCCCAAATGGTCCTTAGGAGCAGGGTCTGCCAGCAGGGGGCACCAGAGGCTTAGTGTCAGTAGCCCAGTCTAGGGGCCTCGCTGGGTACACGCAGGCTGAGGGCGCTGCTGGAGGTGTAGGTGCTTGCCTAGCAGATGTGAGATCACAAAACAAATCCATGCAGACCCAGGGTACTCACCAACCACTGCATAGCCCCCAGGCACAATCCGATAAGTACTACCATCCGTGTGAATCCCATCTGGGAACCAGGCGGCCATGCTTTCGCCCACCAGGCGCCCAAATGCTGCTCCTTCAGGGTGGGGGGGTGGGAAGAGAAAGAGGTAGTGGAGGGGGAGGGCGGGGGCACTAGGAAGAGAGAGGGTCAGAGGGTGGGGGAGGGGCTGGTGGGTTATTCAGCGCAGGGGCAGCTCTGCGGGGTGGGGGTCTGGGCTAGGGCTTGACCAAAAACCCACTCCTGGGCAGAGAGAGGGTGGTGGGGAGGTGGCCTGAGGGTCAGAGAATGATGGACGTAGATGGGGAGGACGAGCAAAAACTCACCAATGACAAAGACAGGCATGAAGGCCCCACAGGGCACCGGGATGGTGGTAGCCAGGGCAGACATCCAGAACTGTAGGCAGGAGGTGACTCAAACAAGCTTCCCACGGGGGCGCCTACCTTGCTTGTGGGCTGTGTTTTACCCAGCAGTCCCTGCATCCCCACAGGGGTAGGACTCTGGGAGATGAAGGACTCTGAAAGCAGTCAACTTTGGGTTCAGCTCCTTACTCGATAGCTGTCTAGCTCCATGACTTAACCTGGGGGGGGGGCTTCTGACCCTTTCCTAACACTGAGATAAGGGTGCTTTTCTCTCAGCTGCTGGGAGGCTTGGGAGAATGAATCCATAGCAAGGTGACTGCATAGCAGCACCTAGCGGCCTGAGGATCATTAATGAAGTACACAAAGGGAAGCAGCCCCCCACCTTCATGAGGATGAAGATGACCAATGTGAGGAAGACGTTGGCACGCGGCGGGTTCCAGGCTTGTGAGGTGCTGGGTGGTTCTTGTTCCTCCACCAGACCCTGGTGGACCCATGTCCGGTTGTCAAACAGGGTAACCAGTGTCTCTTTCTGTGAGAGCTAAGGGTGAACAAGTGCTTCAGGTGGGGGCACAAAGGATGCTGGAATGAGACCCCACAATCACACTGCATGCGTGGCTTGAGGGGGAGTGCACGGGAAGGGAAAGGTTGCGTTTCTGCTGTGCCTGGGGTTACCTGGCCTGCCATGAACTGTCCGAAGCCAGGGGGGAAGGTCAGAGTGGAGATCAGCAGGGTCACCAGCGCCGGGAAGAGCAGGCGTCTGGAGATGGGGTTTCACAGCGTCAGGCACAAGTGGTGCCCTCCGCACCTCAGAGCGCAACAGAGCTGAGGTCACCTTTGCTGCTCCAACATGAGGGGCCCAAGAGTGATAGTGGACCCTCGGGGTATTAGCAGAGGTGGAGAACCTGACCCCAAGGCCTGTCTGTCACTTCTTGGAGCCGTAAGTAGGCAGCAGTAGTAGGAGACACTCTATCATCCCCAACGCTGTCCTGGACACCTGGACACCTGTGAGCTGTCATTCCAACCTCCACCCAAAAAAGCCTTAGCTGGGAGGACACAGTTTAGGGTGGAGACGTCGCTCTCTTCCTCTCTGGTGCCTCAGAGGAAGCTGGGGTCATTTATAAAGTTACTGCAGAGCCACAGGGGCAGGCTCCGTTAGCTTTCCCCTCCCTGGACATCACGTCTAGTGGCAGTCACTTCTCAGGCCTTCCTACTCCTGGTCTTATGGGTTACAACTCACAGCTATGTTCCAGACATTAAAAGTCTCCTCCATGTCCGGGGGTTTAGCCCAGAGGCACAAGTGCCTGCTTGGCAAACGCAAGGTCATGAGTTCAATCCCCAATACCAAAAAAAAAAAAAAAAAAAAGTCTCCTCCATTCTTATGGATCCCAGGAGGTAAACTGAGGCTCACACATTTTCCAGGGAGCACTGCTATCTGGGCCAGGACAGAGGACCTAAAAAAAAGCCTCAGTCTTTGATCCCAAATGCCCTCTGCCAGCGACTAAAAATGCAAAAGTGCCAACTTCAGATAATTCACATAAACACCACTAGCTGATTTCTCGGTGGAGTACTTGTTTTTGTTTCCTGGTACTGGGATTGAATTTAGAGCTTTTACACTGAGCTATATGCCTAACTGTTTCTTAAAGTTTTTATTTTGAGACAGAATTTCTGTACTAAATCGCCCAAGTTGGGTTCAAACTTGTGATTCTCCAGCCTCAGCCTCCCAGCAAGCTTGGATTACAGGTCTCATTCCCCAAGCCTGGGAAGTACCCTTCTCTGACCAGCCCATTATCTCACTCCTCAGTGTTCCTCCACCCACGGTGGCCCTCAGATAACCCTGAGCACCCTGGAGCAGACTGTGGCCAACTCACTTCCTCATGAGGAAGCGATTGATGGTTTTCTGCTTCCGCATCACCTGCACAATCTTCCGGTTCAGGTAGACAAACAGGGCTCCCCCGAAGCCACTAGCAATACTGGAGAGGGAAGAAGCTGGAGGGTAGAAAGGGGTGGGTCTTCTCACGGGGAAGTGGGGTGTCCCGTGCCCCCACATCTGCAGCTCCTCACCCAATGACAGCGAAGGCTGGCAGCTCCTGGAGGTCAAAGGGGAAGTCCAGCCGGAAGCGGGTTTTGAAAAGAGCAGTGATGGTTTCTGCAGGGAAGGGCAGCAGGGAGGTAGGTTCAGCCTCGCAGGTCCCCGACGTGGCCTGGCCATTTCAGGTGCCCTCGTCTCCCAGGTGCCTCCCACCTTCGTCCCGGTTCCAGACCGCCAGGACCCGGAATATGAAGGCACTGAAAGTGGCTGCGAAAAAGCCCCGCCAGTAGTTCCGCACAGCGAAGAAAGTGGAGGTGACCTCAATGCTGAACAGGACTCCTGTGAGGGGCCGGGGAAAGTACCACAGCCTGAGTCTCCGTGGCGGGGGCTCACTACGACACAGAAGAGGGAGGGGCAGGGGTGGGGGAGGGAGGGGGCAGGGGGAGGGGAGGGGGACAGGGAGGCCAAGGACAGGGCCCAGGGCCAGGAGCTGCGCCCACTGAGAGCCCTGCCTACCTCCGATGGGCGCCGCGAAGCAGCAGCCCACTCCTACAGCGCAGGCGGCGGCCAGCATCTCTGTGTTCCGAGATTCATTCTGGCAAAGTGCGGTGGCAGAGGGGCAATGGCCTGGGTTCAAGGGACCGGGCTTCCCCTCCTCTCCCCTCCCCCAGGGCTCCTCTTACCTCATAGATCCCCCCAAAGAGGGAGAGGAACTTGCTCAGGAGGGAGGCACACATGCTTGCAATATGCACAAAAGGGCCCTGGGGGGTGGAGTGGGGCTGCCAGTGAGCAGGGCAGGGGCTGGCCTTGACCCTGGCCTGGCTGTTCTCATTAGGAGCAGCCCCCTCACTCCCCCACAGGCCTCCAGTTTACCTCTTTGCCCAGGGGCATACCGCTGCCCAGGGCACAGGTCAACCCGATGACCTTAGCCACAAAGGTCTTGAGGGTGAGGTATTCTTTTAGCACCACTCCCCGCAAGATGGTCTTCATTTCGGGGATGCCAGACCCTGGAGGTGGGGTGGGGGGAAATGGCCAGGAGAGTCACTGGACAGACTCAGCGCCGGAGGCCTGGCCGCTGCCCTCCCCTGGCTCCTAGCATACCCACAGCCTGAGGGGCCAGGATCTGTGTGAATCCAGCTGAGAAAGTGATAAGGACCACAGGGTAGGTGACCCAGGCCAGGTACTGGAGTAAGATATTGGTGTTCAAGCCCTGAGACATCCACTGCTGAGCTGTGGGAAGAGGACAGGGTGCTGGGCCCTCGATGCTGTGGGCAGCCCATTACGTCGAGTGGTTCCAGGGAACACTGCCCGCGGCCTAGGCAAATGGAAGTGAAGGGGCCCTAGAGGGCACTCATGGGGCAGTGTCCACTGTGGGTAACAGGGTGGGTGGGAGAAGGGAAGCAAGACCATGTGGCCTTTGGGAGCGGTAGTGATCGTGTCCAAGGATGGGCAGTCAGACTGGCTAGGAAGAGGGGTCAGTGGCTAGGTGGTGGAGGCACCTCAGTGACTGAGGCAGGGAGGAAACAAGTCAGTCATCCCTAGCCCGTCCCCAGGTAGCGCTCGCCCTCACCCTGCAGGCAGACAGCAATGGCATAGTCCATGGCCCAGCTGACCAACGCCATAAGGAGCCCCAGAAGGACCAGGAAGATCCAATCTTCACCAACTCTGGACACTAGGAATTTGTGGCAGCGCACAGAACAGACTGGGAGTGGGGAAGACCAACGAGGAGGCTGGCACCCAAGGGCGCCTACCCAGATTAGGTCCCCCCATCCCCCAGTACATCACTGCAGCCTGGTTCCCTTTCCCAGCCCAGGTCTTACTGCAGCACGGAGCGCAACGACTCTGTCCATATTCCAGGAGCTCTGGGGGTACCCGGGGGGAAGGAGGCCCCTTCCAGGGCTCAGGCCCTCCCAGGCGAATCCGAGCAGCTTCCTCTTTGGCAAAAGCCCCGAGTTCCTGAGTGTAACGGCCATACATCTGGAGCAAAGGACAGAGTGTGTGTGTCATTAGTGTGTGTGTATGTGGGGGTCTGAGTGGGGAGGCAGAGGGCTTCAGGGGTCTTGAGTCCGCTTCTCTCTTCCCCCAATTTGTGTGCCCCTCTGGAACCCACGGTTCCCACTCTGGCTTGCAGTATGGGAACAATGCACATTGCAGACTGTGGGCGCTGTCCTGGCCAGAGTGATGGGGACAGTCGAGGTATGGGGACACAGCTCTAGGGGTGGCAGAATAATCAGTCCTCTTCTCCCAGGCCTGCGTGTGAGGAACAGGAGGGAAAACCCCAGAGGCAGGGAAAGATAGAAAAACGTAAGCCACTGTCTGAAAGTGGGAGGGAAGGTCAGAGAATAAGGGATGGTCAAGGGCATATGGGCACAATAAGAGCCTGGCGGAGCTGAGGGCAGCTAAGCTGGGCCTAGGAGCAGGCACGGCCCCAATCCTTATCACGTTCCTGCTGGGCCTCTGGCCTGTGACCAACTCAGCTGTACCCCTCCCACCCACCCTAATCCCCTTGTCCTCATTTCCACCCCCACCCCAGCCTGCCAACGGGCTGCTGCGAGTGGAAAGGTGGCAGCCACTCTGGAGTCCAGCGGCAGACTGGGGGCCACCAGAGGCTGTGGGATGGCAAGGCTGTGACTGATGCTGGGGTGATGGGACAGAGGCAGAGGCGAGGAGCTGTGGCCAGACCTGCCAAGCTGGGCGTGTGTTGGGGGGTGGGGAGGAGTAGATTCCGGCTGCCACCCGCAGAGCTTCAGGACACAAAAGGGCCCCTGTTGGGGCTGGGCTGGGAGGGGGAGAGGGAGGGACAGATAGAGACACAGAGAGAGTGAGAGATAGGAGAGAGACAAACAGAGAGGAACTAGAGAGTAGAGAGGAAAAGAGCAAAGAGGGGAGGGAAAGATGAGAAGAGAAGCAGCAGGGAGGGAAAGAGGAGTATACAGACACAGTATAGGACAGGAGGTGACAGAAAGACAAAGGGCAGAGAGGAGGAGTAGGAGGAGGGGGAGAGGCTGGCGCAGAGGACCCCGGGAGAGGGCCTGACCCCAAGAGCTCATCTGGAGACTCTGAGGGAAGGAGATGGAGGCTGTCACCTCTCTCAGTCACCCTGCTTCTCCAGTCACTTTTGGAATTGGGCACTTGGGCACCTCCCCTATTAGATTATGGCCTAGGCCCTCTTCTGGAGAGGTTCCCTCCCTGCCACCTTCCTGGGCAAATTCCAGCCAAGCTGATAAAAAGGAGTCAGAGGGACCATTGCTTTTCTGAGGCCCTGGGTCCCCCACCTCAGTGACATGAGAAGGATCAAATAGCTTCTCAAATATTAAGTAACAGCATGGCCATGAGTCAGCTCTGAGCCCAAGACCCCTGCTTCTGATGGGTCAAGGGACAGCCTGGGGTGGGTGGGAGCTGCATACTCAGAGCTGCGTGGACAAAGGTCCCAATCCCACACCCATTTAGGCTTCCACCATCCTCCCTAAATAGCTCCTGTTGCTCCTGTGGCCTGCGTCTTAGCCCAGGAGCTTGACCGAGGCAGGGGCTGGCGCTGGGGCTGGGTTTGGGTCTGTTCGTTGTCTACCAGCTCCTGATTCTGTGTCTAGCACGAGCTGTGGACGTGGCCGGATCACAGGGACCGTCGCGGATGTGGAGACAGGAGTGTGCAGAAAGTTCATGGGTGTGAATGGCGCTGGGGAAGGGGAGCAGGGTGCTGAGGCTTGAGCTCAGGCGGTCGGAGGAGTGAAAAAACGTGCGTGCAGGGAGGGGCTGAAGGGAAGCGAAGGGGCGACAGACACCTGGTGTCACTGTCCTTCGCAGCCCCCGAGCTTCAGCTGGAAACCAGCAAGCGGCTTTTCAACCCTTTGGTGCTGCAGCCTGTCAGACTCCTGAGGCTCAGCTGCCCCAGCCTGATGGGGAGGCCCCCAGTCACCTCGCTTCCTGGGATGAACCAGAGCTGCAGGGCCCGGTGCACATCTCGGGGCTCGGCTTGGCTGGGCTTACCAGGGTCTGCTCGTACTGCAGCGCCCGCGGCTCCATGCCTTCTCCCGCCGCCGCTGCCGAGGCCGCCATCTCCGCGCACTGCCCTCGCGCCTCCCTGCGCTGCGCCGGCTCCGGCTCCGGCTCTGACTCCGGCCCCGGCCGGGACTCAGCTCCCGGCCCCTAGACCCCACGTCCGTGCCCGTCGGGTCCCCGCAGCCCGGGCGGCCGAGTGCAGAGTGCGGCGGGTCCCGGCGGGCGCCGCAGCGCAGCCTCCCGCGCGCGTCCCCTCCCTGGCGGGCGGGCCGAGGGCGGTGCCCTCCGTGCGGCTCCGCCTGCCGGCCCATCCGGAGGGGCCGGCCCAGCCTTGCGAGGGTCTGCGCCAGGGCCGCTTCCTGCGCTCGGGGAGGCGGCAGGGGGCGCCCGGGGTGCCCGAGCTCTCGCCCCTCCCCGGGGAGACCTCAGACTGCCTTGCACCGGGCCGGCGAGGGCGAGGGCGGGTCAGCCGGCACGTGGAGGGGCCGGGCCCGCGGCGCCCTGTGCTGGGCGATCAAGACCAGAGATGCGGGGCTTGGTGGGGCTAAGGGGTATGGCGTGCAGGACTGTGTACCTCAGGCTTTTCCGCCCGGACCTGTCAGGAGCAGCCCCGTCTGCCCCTCGGCAGGGTCCGATCGGCCAAGGAAGGCTCCTCTTTCCGGAGCAGGGGAGGAAGCAAAGTTGGGGGGCGTCGCAGAGGGGAGTTGTAGGCCGTCTCCCCATGCTTTCCCTTCACTCTTGGGGAGAGGTGCAAGTGCACCTGAGGCTGCCAGGGAGGAGATGGGAAGAGGCGAGGCCCGAGGCCAGGGAGTCATATGTGCCAGGATGCCACTCCTGGGAGGCGGGCGTGAGGGGCAGAGGTCGCTCCTCCCTGGCCAGGCCCGAGCCGAAACTCGCCGAGCTGCTGACGAGCTGCTGAAGGCTCGTCGCTGTAAGACAATGGCCTGCGGGGTCTTCGCGTTCGTTCTCGGAGTCCTTGGAGGGCGGAGTGGGCAGGGTTGAACGCCAGTGCCCAGGGATCAGGGGAGCAGTGTGGGGCATAGAAGCGATGTCTAGGGAGGGGGCAGTGGCGAGAAGGGGTGCAGTGTTTGAGAGTTGCTGGCACCTCGACACGGAGATCAGTGCCAGAAGGATAGAGCGGTACTAAGTCGAAGGGAAAGTGTAGGTTTCTCTCTTCCCTATAGTGACATCATAGCAAATTCCCAAACCCGACCGACCCGGCTCCGGTGACGTCCAGCAGGAGGAGGCCAACCCTGCCCGGCCCGGGGTGCCTTGCTGCCAGCTAGAGGGTCTGAGCATCAGGCCCTGCGGGTCAGCGGTCGGGGGCGGAGTTCTGTTTCACCCGCCCCTAGCGCGGACTGTGCCCTAGGCGGGCACGCAGGCAGGCAAGGTAGGGCTAGGCCGGGCTGCTGTGGGCCAAGGATCAAGGTCCCAGCCGGGTTAGGCCCCCACGTATTCCAGTCTTTGGGACTTGGACTCTGAAGAGGGCGCAGCAGAGCTCTGGAGAGGAGCGCGACAACTAGCACCACCTCCGCAGCGGGTGGGGCCTGCGCTATCCCCGCCCTGGGCGGAGTCTTCAGGACGTGAGACCCGCCCACAAAGCGCCGGCTTCTCCGACAGGGTCTGTAGGGGCGGAAGTGAAGATGTCCGGAGAGGGAGGCGGCGACGGAAGTGGCTGCGCTACTGGCCCTCGGTGCGCGTGCGCCGTCCTGCTACCTCGCTGCAGTTCTTCGGCGATTATTTCTCCCGCTTTCTCCGCGCCGGGCTCGGAGCCTGGCGCTGCTGCTGCTCCTTTTGCGGCCCCTTCACTATGGCGGGCATCCTGTTTGAGGATATCTTCGATGTGAAGGACATTGACCCAGAAGGCAAGAAGTTCGACCGAGGTAAGCGAGGAGTTAGGGCACGTCCTTGGGCCACCTGGCCCCCCGCTCACGTGGCAGGGCGACCTTCTCTGCAGACATCCTCAGGACTAGAAAACTGGGACTCCGAACTGATGTCTGGGCGGACTTTAGTCGTGGTGCCGCCAAACTCCGGAGCCTCTTGTAATCGCTACCCGCTCTGTGTTAGGTGCGGCACTGTGCGCGATTTACACACTTTGCCACATTGATTTCTTTCAGGGGTTCCTGTGAGGTGGGTAGTGTCTTCCTAGTTTTGCTCCGAAGAGGTTAAATACCACCTCCCCACCCCCCACACACAGCGGGTCTAGGGTTGTAGCTCAGTGGTGTAGAGCGCTTGCCTAACATGCGCCAGGCCCTAAAGAGAAAAACAGACACAGTTACTTGATTTTCTAGCCTGTATGCTTGTATCATCCCCATAATCTTTAAACTCCGTGTGAAGTCCGCTCTGAGTTAGAGCTAACTGGTTGATGTACAAGGGGTTATAGAAAAGTACCAAGTGGATCAAAAACTTTATTACAATAAAAGACACATCTCCATTAATCTCCCTCAAAGTGCTCTCTCTGAACACACTTATCCCGATGTGCTTGCCACTTTCTGAAGCAGTCTTGATAGTCCTGTGTGTCGGGTGTCTGTGAGGTGTGATGAATGCAGTAGCTACTGGTGCCATCCAGCCAAAAGGCAGGCTGGTGAAAACACAGTGTGCCCTCAATCCGCCGGATCTGGCCCTGTGGGACATCTGGCTCTTCCCCAAAGTTAAAATGACCGTGAAAGGTAAACGTTTTGAATCAGTTTAGGAAATCGAGAGACAGCCAGAGTAGAGCAACTAAAAACACAAAAGAGGACTTCAGAAGTGCTTTAGAAAGTTTCAAGAACAATGAGCTAAGTGTTTGGAGAGAGGGGAGTATTTTGGGGAGATTAATGGCAATGTGTCTTTTACTGTAATGTTTTTAAACATTGCACTTCATACAACTTTATTGTGCCATTGATTGATAATTGTTTTTCTTTGGTGTCACTTTCTTTGCCTGGAGACATGTTTTTCTTTTTTTCTTTTTTTTTTTTTTTGTCTTTTTCATTTTTATAGGTAATCGAATTCAGGACCACCTGCTTGCAAGGCAGGTGCTTAGGCCGCTGAGCTAAATCCCCAGCCCCCTGGAGACATGTTTTTCAATACAGACATAGGTTCTTTTTCATTGTTACTTTGTTTTCTGAGATATGGTTTCACTGTATAGTACAGGCTAGCATTGAATTCATTATGTAGCCTGGGCTGGTCTTGAACTCACCAAAATCCTAATCCTGTCACAGCATCCTGAGTGCTGGGATTGTAGGCATGTGCCTCAGTTCCTTGCTCAGACATCAGTTCTTCAGCATTCGGATAATCCCTTCACCGTAGTGCGTATTATAAAAAATGGTGCTGGGGGCTGGGGATTTAGCTCAGTGGCATAAGCGCCTGCTTTGCAAGCAGGCAGTCCTGAGTTCGATTCACAGTACCAATAAAAAGGAAAAAGACCCCCCCCCCCAAAAAAAATGGTGCTGGACATGGAGACACATGCTTGTAATCCCAGCACTTGGGAGGTTGAATGAAGCAAGAAGATTGCTGTTTGTTCGAGGCCAGGATGGGGTGCAAAGTGAATTCAAGGCCAGCCTGAATTGCATAGGGAAACCTGGCTTAAAAGGACATCAGCAGCAACAAAATTTTATTGTACTTAATCCCCAAACTGCCCTGAACCTGGTGTTATGCCTGTTGTTCTGTTCGTACTTCTCTCCAGTGTCTCGACTGCATTGTGAGAGTGAATCTTTCAAGATGGACCTCATCTTAGATGTAAACATTCAGATTTACCCTGTAGACTTGGGTAAGTATTGAATACAGATTTAAAAAAACTTAAAAAAAATTTTTTTTAATCTCTTCGAAATTTCAGCTCTTTACCCTGAGGGCATTGCTTTTATTTTTAGGTGACAAATTCCGATTGGTTATAGCAAGTACTTTGTATGAAGATGGTACCCTTGATGATGGTGAATACAACCCCACAGATGACAGGCCTTCCAGGTAAGGGAGTGGAGAAGGGAGTGAAGTATGCCCCAAGACTAACTAGCTAAATGGTATAGAAAGACTTTTTCTTACTATAATTTTGTTTTTGAGGCAAAGTCTTGCTGTGTAGTTCAGGCTGGTCTTGAACTCATGACCATCATCCTGCTTTAGACCCCCAAGTGCTACTACCATGTCTGGCTGTTAATGTATTTTGGGTACTAATTTACTTCTGTGGTGCTGGGATGTAAACCAGGACTTTGCCCATGTGCTGTGCCAAATTGAACTACATCCTCAAGCCTAGAAAAACTTTTATTTAATTCCTGGAATAAATAGTATCAGTAAAATTTGAATAACTTTAAGGAAATTATTGCAGTTAAGAAATCAGACAACTAGGGGCTGGGGATTTAGCTCAGCAGCATAAGCTCCTGCCTTGCAAGCAAGCGTGTGGTCGTGAGTTCAATCCCTGGTACTGATAAAAAAAAAAAAAAGAAAGAAATCAAACAACTAGGGAGGTAAGAGGGAGGGAAATGGAAGGGAAAATAAAAAAGAATTTATCTATGTGCACCAATTCCTCTTGATGAATGTCATTTTTTTGGCTTTTTGAGACAGGGTTTCATTATGTAGTTAGTCCAGGCTGGCCTTCAACTCGCAGGAATCCTCCTGCCTCAACCTCCCAAATGCTGGAATTATAGGCATATACTGCCATGTATGGCCCAAATGTCATTATTATGGTCTGCAAACATGTGCTAATATGAAAGAAATCAAGCAACCGGGCATTTATTGAGAGAATCAATAACATGCTTGTTTATTGCATTTTTTTTTTTTGTCTTTTTCATTTTTATCGGTACTGGGGATCGAACTCACAACCGCCTGCTTGCAAGGCAGGTGCTTATGCCGCTGAGCTAAATCCCCAGCCCCCTATTGCAGCTTTTTGAAGGTTGAGGACGTGGCCATATGAGTGAGCCAGGCTGTGTGGCCAAGCTCACAGGATTGCTATAAGGACCTGAGTTTCTAAGTTGCCTGTTGTTATATGCTGGCACTTACTTGCTGGTTACTGTGTTTTTATTTATGTGGTAAATTTATTTTTTTTTTATTTTGAGACAAGGCCTTGCTAAATTTCCCAGGCTTGCCTTGAACTTATGATCCTCCTGCCTTAGCTTTCTGAGCAGCTGGGATTACAGGCCTGCGTCAGCATGTCAGGCTCGGTTGCCATTTGTAAGGAGCCTCTTAATGCTGTTAATTATTATGAAGCATAACTTTGTTCAGTTTTTCCACAGGGCTGACCAGTTTGAGTATGTAATGTATGGGAAAGTATACAAGATTGAGGGGGATGAAACGTCTACAGAAGCAGCAACACGCCTGTAAGTCCCATAGGCTGGTGAGAAACCTTTGTCCCTCCCTGTACTGAAAATTTGGGCCGTGCTCCTATTGCAGTGTTGGGTCCTCCTGAAACACCTCAGATGTAGATGGGATGAAAAAGGGACCGCTCTGGGGACAGTTCCCAGTCTGAAATTCTGGCTGCTCCTCCTGCCCTTGTTCAGGATCTCAGATAATTTCTTGCTGTGTAAATTGCAGAGGAGAGTGGATTCTTCTGGGAAATCCTTACAGCATTAAGTGATTAAACTGCTAAGCTGTTTTGTTTTTGTTTATTTTGTGTGTGAGTGTGTTTTGCTACTCTGTAACCCAATCTCTGCTTCTTTGGTTTCCCTGCTCAACTATTTTTTTCTTCCTATAAAATTTTATTGAAACAATATGTGTTCTTTGTAAGAAATTAAAAAGCAGAGAAGTAATGAAAAAAAGGAAAAAAAATCACCTATGATTCCATACCCAGAGGGAATTTTTTGCATAAACATTTTGAATATTCTAGGTCTTTTTTTTTTAAATAACTGAGGGCCTCACATATGTTAGGTAAGCCCTCTGCCACTGAGCTGCACTCAGCTTTTTTTATTTTGTGGCCGGGTCTTGCTGAGTTGTTCAAGCTGGCCTCAGGCTTGTGATCCTCCTGTCTCAGCCTCTGGAGTAGCAGGAATTACAGACCTGTTCTCCATGTCCAGCATTCTAATTTTTTTGTCTTTTTCTTTGAGAGCTTGTTCATTACAGTGTTTTCGTGGTTTTTCTTTTTGCTTTTGTCTTTTTGAGACAGGGTTTTGCTATACAGTTAAGGTTGGCTTTGGGCTCCTTTTGTGGCCCAGGCTGGTCTCAAATTTGCAATGATCCTTCTGTCTCGGCCTCCCAAGTGCTAGATTACAGGATTCTGCCACCACACCTGGCTCTGTGTTTTCTGTTTTTGCTTAACATTTATAAACCATATTTCGCTGTATTAGTAAAGCTTTTCCCAAACATTTTAATAACTATAACATTCTAGTAAATCTATCATAATTCATTTAACTGGTCATGTAAGTTGGGTTAGTTGTTTTCTACCTTTGCTAGTATGCAACATCACTTTTGCACACACGTGTGCATTCTCGTTGTCTGAATGTTTAGCTCTTACTGACAGCCTCTGGAGAGTGCCTGCCTCTCTTCTTTTTCACACGGGGCGGATGCTCTGGAGCTCATGCTGGGCGGGGGCTCTGTTTCAGCTCTGCCTATGTGTCCTACGGTGGCCTGCTCATGAGGCTGCAGGGTGATGCCAACAACCTGCACGGCTTTGAGGTGGATTCCAGAGTTTATCTGCTGATGAAGAAACTGGCCTTCTGAACCTCTCAGGAAACTGGCTTTGCTGCTGAGTTGCTTGGGTCATGGACACTGAAGCCTAAGCAAAAGTCGTTGTGGTCCTTGTGGAGAAGGGAGCGGCTCTGTCCACCCGGAATCAGAGGAGACTGACTTGGCCCGTGGAGATCCAGTGCAGGAGCTAAAAATGAATCAGAAGTCACTTTTTGTGTATATATATATTTTTTAATTAAAACCTCACTTTTTCAGACAGCTTCCCTCCCCTTTCTTTAAAAATTTCCATTTTCTTTAAAATTATATTTTTGTTAATTTGTGTATGGTATGTTTCTGGTCTGCAGCCAGATGATCATGTGTGACAGGCTGTCCCTTTTGGTGTCAGAGTTTGGGGTCTCCTGAGTGACTCTTCTCAACGTTTATCCCTGGTATGGTTCTTGATTGGGGAGAAAGTGTCGTGTTCGAGCTCCTGAGGATAGTACCCCAGGCCTGGAAGGTACCACCCATTTGGCAGAGCTTTGGACTGGCACCTAGCCCTGACCATGTCCTTCCAACACTTTCAGTCGCTTAGGAGTCCTTTCACGTTGATGTGAGTGAGTCACTCGCATAGACTGGAACTGTTCGTTTTTATGGAAGCTTTCAGACACGGGCTCCGAGGCCTGGAAGCAAGTGGGGGAGTAGTCTGTGCTTTCCCCTCCCGGGATGACCGTAGAGGGACCAAGTGGTGGTGGTGGTTCTCACTGTTGACACCAGATGGGGAGCTGCTGCATAGGCCAGTGAAGTGGACAGGACACCAATACCAATGAGATTGGCGGCCCAGCACCAGTGCGCAGGACAATGCTCCAGCCTGACTGCAGTCTCTAACTTAGAAAGAGGGAAAAGAAACAAGGAAACAGTGGTCACAAGGACTCCCTAGTGTGAGTGTGAGCTGGCTCTTCTGCCTGACGTTTGAGTTCTCTGGGGAAGTATTTGGGATTCTTCCCCTGAGAAAGGCAAGGTTAAATAACTCAGAAAGAAGCTCTGCAGTCAGCAGTTGTCTCTTACATCCTGGCTCTGCTTCCAGAGCAGGTCCTCCTGCTGGGATACCTGTGGAGTTTCCTTCCCCATCATTTTCAGGTCTTCACAGGAGACATTAGAAATCGTATTTAGGGAGGTGGATGGAAAATGGAACGGGCTCAGCAGGCAGGAGGGAAGGTGTTTTCACCTTCCCAGAGGTGGTGGGAGGGGATAGGAGGTGCAGTGGGGGTTGGGATGATTTTTTATGGGCTCCCAGCTTTTCTGAGGGTTTTGAGGGCACGGAGGATGGATTGGGATTAAGTTTGAGAACCTAATTACCTGTAATAGTTGCAGGCTATGTAGCAAGGTTTGGGTTGACCTGGGGTGGCAAAGGACAGAACTGGTATAAAGTAGAATAGGGTTGAGTGTTCTGACTTTAATCAGTGTGCGTAAGAGAAGAAGGGATGGAATCAGATGGAATGGATTAGATTCTTTTTTCTTCGGGGTTTGGGGATTGACTTCAGGGCCTCACCTCCCCCAGCCTCAGGTTAGATAATCATGATGGTGAGTTTTTGTTTTTGTATTTGATGCCACAGCTTGGATCCAGGGCCTCACATGTACTACACAAGCGCTCCACTACTGAACTACATCCTCAGCCCAGGTTAGATTCTTGGTAGGGCAGATTTAGCCACACAAAAGAAGCCCAAGGCTGTTTGCTTGTGGCCTGAGCTGGAGTGAGACACTGGTATCAGATGCCTGGAGCCGTCTGCCTGCATTTGCAGTTTTGCAACCCTTGCCTCTTAACTGTGCTGAGAACCTGTTATTCTTCTGTCTCTTTGACACCTTGTTCTGGCTGTTGGCTCTCTCTGTGTCATGAAGTGTTTCATTTGATGATTAAATTCTTTTTGATTGTTAAATTTAACCTACTTCAGTAGTTCAGTAAGTTACACTTTGCGGTTACCGTTCCCTGCGGTTACCGTTCCCTTAAGTTCATACTAGGATTTGTAGTGTGGGTGAACTAATTCTCCCCTACCGACACCATCTGAGATGTGGAGGGCATTTTGAGTTTTCTGTATCTGTTTGCTTTTTTTTTTTTTTTTTTTTTTTGTCTTTTTCTTTTTTAACAGTACCGGAGTCAGGACCACCTGCTTGTAAGGCAGGTGTTTATGCTGCTGAGCTAAATCTCCAGCCCCAAGCTTTCTGTATCTGTTTTTTTTGTTTTTTCTTCAGTGCTGGGGATTGAACCAAAGGCCTCACAGGCTAGGCAGTTGTGCCTCTGAACTATGCCAACAGCTGTGTGCATTTGTTGATGCGTTCTCCCTGGTGATTCTTGTGCCCATGAAGGCAGAGGAGGACACCTGGAGATGTCCAAATTAGCCACCCCCACCAAGAGCCTTAGTAGTTGATGTATTTGCTCCCCATAGACTTGGAACCAGTGAACGATAGGGTCTCCTATCGGTGAATGAAAGTCTTCTACAGTTCCTGCAGGAACTCCTGAGGTAGCAGGCTGAAGTGGCGGTGGAGTTTCTGCAGAGCTTCCGAAGCCTGGTTTCTTAGGGACCCCCTGCCTGTGTTTACAGTGGTCATGCAAAGCTGTGTTTTTCATGTACTCGTGGGAACTGGGAAGTGAGCCTTCAGCTCCTTCTAGTGCTTGCCCTGCTGTGTCAGCTCAAGGAGCCTGACTCAGGGCACTTCCTGCACTTCCTGGTGACCTCCACAGGAGGGAGGCTGGAGCCCAGGCCTGGCAGGGCTGAGCTCTGAAGTGCTGGCTGTTTGCTCAGCTGTTGAGTGCCCACCATCCCAACCAAAACATCTGTCTGCACACCTTACCTGGGGTGTGAAGCTCTCCGAGGCTTCTTGTTAGCTTTTTTGGGAGGTGTGGAACCTATTTCACCCCCACTCCCCAAGAACATCTTTCCCTTGCTTTTTGGTTAGCTCTCGCATACTCATGATTTATTCTTTTCCAAGCTTTGTTCTGTGTGTTTCGATGGCCTTTTTAATCAACACCTGTTACTCATCAAAGAGTAAAAATCTCAAACAGAGGGTCAAATGAGGCCCATCAAGAATGAACTGGGCATTAGAGGGCCTTAAACTTGAAGCAAAGGAAATTACTTTTCTGACACAAGGTTAATCTACCTCTGTCAAAAGGTCAGGCCAGGCCAGGCCAGGCTTTCGTAGGGTTATCATGAAAAACAACACATTGATAGTGATTTGCAAAATGACCCGGAAAACAGACCAAAGATAACTAGCTGCTCTGATGAATACATATTGTCAATAGCTAAAAAAAAAAAAAAAAAAAAAAAATGCTTCTGAAGTTGTATAATGTCCAGTGAAAGCCAGCTCCTCTGCCAGGGCTTCAGCTTGTAGGTAAAAGCTGGTAGAGCTGCAGTTGCCGGGCGGGGCCCTCCCCTGTGGCCATGTGTGGGTCCCTCACCCTTCCTGAGACCCATTCTGGGAGTGAGGGTGGGCTGCAGTGAGCAGAGGGCTGCTGGAGTTGGCTGTGATGGAAGGCTCAGGCAGCAGGGGGCGGGGCTGGGCTCCAGGTGTGGGCAGGGCGGGTGGAGGAGAGAAAGGTGTGGACTGTCCAGCAGGAGGAGGGGCTGGGGAAGCTGAGTGGAAGTACAGGAGGGAGGGTGGCCAGAAGCCTGTGTCCGAAGTTCCTGGTGGAATGGTTGGGACTTGTAGGGCCCTGGCTGAGGCTCCAGGAAGGAGTCCATGAGTTCCATTCAAGGGTCCATGTGTCCTGTTCAGGTGTCCAGGGATTTGGTCTGAAGACCTGGAAGTCTGATTCAGCAGACCAGGAATCTTGGCGCTGAATCCCTGTAGTGTGTTGAGAAGTCCAGAGCCAGGCGTTCTGGCTGTGACAGTGAAGTTGGTCTCCAGCAATGCAGAAGTCCTGTTTGGGAGCTTGTTTAGTGTGAAGAACAGAGAGGTACTGCTTGGGACAGTGGTGGTGGGCAGGGCCCGCCTGGCACAGAGTGTGGGCCCTCCTACAAGCAGTAGGAAACGCACCTTTCCTCGGAGCAGCTGTTGGAAGCTCAGGAACATGGCATTGGGGTCCTTGTGAGCTACAGTCCTGCCCTGTGGAGGAAGCTGAGGGCAGAGGATGGGCCTGAGGCCAGAGACCAGGCCCAGACCCCTGGCCTCCCTTGACTGGGAAGATGGTGCCAGCGCCTAGGCATTGTGGCTGGGACAGGGCACTCCCTGTGGGTGCCTCCCCTACCCTCACCACCCTAGGACCCCCTTTCTGCAGGTCTCTTAGGGGGATTGAGGCGGAGGATATTTTCTATGGTTCCTTAACTGGGGACTTACCTGGGTCCCCAGGAGACCCTGCAGGGCCCCAAGGAGGAGGCGGACCTGTCCAGATAGCTGTCCCAGGAGGGAAGAGAGGCACGAGGGTCCCAGCTGGCCCCGTGCTGCCATCACTCCCTCCAGTAGAAGGGTCACTGCTCCTAGAATGTCCTGTGCTTTGCTCTGCTCCTGGGAGAGGGATGGAAAAGAGAAGCAGGCTGCTTCAAAGGCCGTGCTAATAGCGGGTGGGGAGCCCGGGGGGACAGCCAGCAGGATGAATCATAGGAGCCAAGAACTGGACAGCACCGGCGTCCCACCCAGCGCAGGAATTCCTGCAGTCTCCCGACAGTTGGTCATCAGCCTGTGCTTCAGTAAGTCCAGTGTCCACCGAGCCAGCTGCTCCTACGCTGACTTCTAGCTCCTGGTTTCAGTGCTGCGCATGTACTCTTTGTGCTACAGAACCTTAGGGCCACAGCATTTTAAAACTCCAAGTGGAGGTGAGGTGTTGCTGTCATGGGAGTGGCAGATGTGGAATAGAAGCGATCTGTAGGTACTGCCCTTCTCCCCTGACCCAGGACCCCTGGGAGACCTGAGGGAAGGAAGAAGATTCTGGGATGCTTGGGAGCAAGAGGAGCTGATCTGGGTCCCCAGGGAGCAGCTCTTGCTGGACACAGGGTCTACTCAGTCAGGTTTGTGGCTTTGTTTCTTAGACCATTCCTCATCCAACAGAAAAACAAAACAAAACCTAAGAAGAGACAGAATAGAATTCGATAGGAATTTTTCTACAACATAGATGCTAAATTTCTAAAGCAGTCCAGAACTGTCAGCTTTAAAAATAATGCCTTCACCCTCTATGTCTACCAACACATGAGTGGGTAAGAAAAGTGTCATATGTAATACAGTACTATCAAGAATGTATTTATGAATATATTTAAGAATAAACTTGAGTGATCTGTAGGCAAATGGATGCTCCTTGATTATTTTTGAGACAGGGTCTTTCTGTGTAGCCCTGGCTACTCACTTACTTGGACAGGCTATTCCCTGTGTAGCCCTGTGCACATAATGATCCTCCTGCCTCAGCCTCCTGAGTGCTGGGATTAGAGGCGTGTATTACCACACCTGGCTGAGTGGATGCACTCTGAGACCATGTTAAGTGAAATAAATCAGACACCCATTTTAAATATACCATAGCTTCTCATATGAGAAACTCCAAATATAAATAAAGAGCAAAATAAAAGCTAGATAGTAGGGAAGTAAGAGTTTTTGCAAATGGGAAGGGGACCAAGAGGTAGAGGGGGAAAGAAGGGAGGGTAAGGAATTGAGATATTATGTACAGCTACCAGCTCCCCAGGAGGAATGTGAGCATTATGAACTATAAATGTGTACTAATAAAAAAACAGTTAAAAAATAGCTGCTTCAGGGCTGCAGGTATAGCCTGGTGGTAGAGGGCTCGCTTAGCACAAGGCCTTGGGTTTAATCCCAGCATTGCAAAAAGAAAAAGAAGAGCTTCTTCAACTGCAAGCTACATTTGGAGCTATTCGGCTCTTGAATCTTTCTCCTGCAGCTGGAGGCTTGAACAGGGCAGGCCATCGAGAGCTGAGAGCCGGAAGGAGTTTGCTCAGTTTACACAGAATTAACCACATGCATCTCTGTTAAACTTCACCTTGAAATGCAATTCCTCTTGCTTCTAGCTTTTGTCATGTCAGTGGTGTGTCCCAGCTTGGTGTCATCTGTAGATATTTATACACAGTACTACTTTTTCATGCCAATTTAAGAAGGTTGAAGGGGCAGAGAGGTTCAAGGCATGGCCACTAGAGTCCTATGCAGCTCTGTGTGTGGTCAGCCTCAAATCTGTTTGAAGGTACTAAGCCCAAATCCATCATCTTGTGTAGGGGGTATCATCATAGGAGAATGTAGGTGGAGTTTGGCTGACAGAGCAGAAGATGAGAGATACTCTCTTTTTTTTATCGGTACCGGGGATTGAACTCATGACTGCCTGCTTGCAAGGCAGGTGTTTATGCCGCTGAGCTAAATCCCCAGCCTGAGAGATATTCTTAGAGCACAAAAACTTTAGAAGAATCAATGGTAAGCAGGCGGGGCTTGGTAGTGATAAGACTTACGGAAGCCAATGTAAGGGGCATTTTGTTTTCTCCATCCCTCCTCTCCCTCCTTTCCTCCTGTCCTCTCTCCCTTTCTTTGTTCCTTTTTCCTTTCGCCTTTCCCTTTCCTTTCTCCTTCCTGCCTTCTTTCGGATGCTGGGAACCAAAGCCAGGGCCTCACACGTGCTAGGCAAGTGCTTTACCACCGAGCCACATCCCAGGTCATGGGTGGCTTTCTTACCGTCTGAGCTTTCCATTCTCCCAAGCTAAAGTCCACAGCAGGCAGCAGGATGGGTGTGGACAAAGCGTTCACTTCGGGGCACTGGCTCTGTTGAGAAAGATGGGGTGAGAGAAGGGAGCTGAAGTAGAGGAGGGTATGGTGGCCTAGAGCTGGGACAGACCCCACAAACACTTATGTCCAGACCAGAGCTTCTAAGAAGGGATCTAGTGCAAATCACAGTCCCTGGCAGGAAGTAATCAACAGTACGCAGAAGTGTTTTTATTAGTATTTTTTTGGTGCAGGGATTGAGCTCATGCTAAGCAAGCTATCTACCACTGAGGTATACTCCTAAACCCCATCACCTTTTTCTCTCTTTTCTTTTCTTTTCTATTCTTTTTTGGTACAAGGTCTTACTAAATTTCCCAGGCTGGGCTCAAACGGACAGTTCCTGCCTCAGCTTGCTGAGCAGCTGAGTGTACAGGCGTTTGCCACCATGCCTGGATGGTGGTGGTTTTGCCAAAGACGACAGTGGAGGAATAGTCACTGGTCAGGGAGTATAAGAAAGTGGCGTGAGGGAGGGCAGCTTACCAGCTAAGTGGAGAGCGGGCTGGTGTGTCGGATTCTTACCAGTCTGCCATGAAGGGCGTGAGAGTCACGAAGCAGTTTATTTAGGAGTCGGGGGTCACAGGCAGGCGGAGCTGGGTTGGACAGAGTTAGTCTTGCAGTAAGGAGAAGAAGGACCACCAGGAGCAACTCTTAGATGAGGTAGAAAGGTTGGGGGTGGGCAGTAAGGAAGGAGTCACTGTCAGGTGGTGATCCAGGGTTTCCCATTTAGGACCCAAACCTGGGGTTCTATTGATCAGACCTTATCCTGGAGAGTGGATTCTCCCCATCCCCCCTCATAATCTGTTTTTTTTTTTCTTCTCCCCTGCTGTGTTTCAGTCTGGCCCTTGTTCCTTGAGTGCTTTCTTACCAGTCAGCTCCATTCTGGCTGGGGTGTCTGGCTGGAGTGGCTCCCTGTACGGGACCTCTCCGCTGAATCCTTCCTGGGGCCATGGAGGCGGCTTGGGCTTTTGCACTTTTAGGCAGAGTGGGGTGGGGCACAGGTGGGCCGAGAAAGAGGGTCTGGAATCTGTCCTGTAAATGACAGGAAGAGTGACCATTTCACCAAATTTCAAGAAAAAGACTGCCTGGCTGGGGGAACAGATGCTGGGAGGACCTGGCCAGCTCTGACTGTCCCCAGGTCTTCCTGGGACTGCAGCATATGGTGTGGTCTCTATCAGTGACTCTGGTGTGAGTTTGGTGCCATCGATACTCGTCACACCTGCTGAGAGCAGCAGGACGTGATATGTACACACACATGGCTTATTTGGCTTCAAATTCTAAGCAAGCTTGCTTGTTAGGGCTGAGGCTCTGGGATGGGGATGCGGAAGGGGAGAAGCATGGAAAAGGGAATATGGGTTGGGATGAGAAAGTTGCAAATATGCATAACATGCTCAGGAGGAATTGGGCAAAGCTATAACTTCAACCACCAGAAGGCAGGGATTAAAAGCCAGTGCAAGACTCTCTTATTCCCTCCCTGTCTGCCCCACACATAAAGCCTCCTGGAGTTTTGCTTTGCAATCCACATTCTGAAAAACCGAGATGGCCTGGCAGTCCTGGGCCTTCCTTCCTGAAGCCAGTAGCCCAGCAGTGGGCACCTCCTAAGGAAGATGGTGCCCACATTACATGGCTTACTTCCCTGAGACGGGCAGCCAACCTGTCTTACGGCTGCACCTGTCTCTCTGCCCCCTCTGCAGATCCCTTCCAGCTCCTTCCCAGGACCCCCCACATGGCTTCCGCCTCCTTTCACAACTTGTGCAAAGAAGTCTGCACCTGATTCAATATTGGGATTTCCTGTGGGTGTGTCAATATGCTTCAGCCCTCCTCCCTTAACACCCTTCCTGGTGCCCCTGGCTTCCCTGATCCAGCTTCCCCAGCCCCAGAATTGGGAACCCGAAACTCATGAGTTGTGACCTTGTAAGAATGGGGATTGGGGCTGTGTCCATCTTGGTGCTAGATTCTGTCACTGTACATGCACCTCCTTTATTTTTTATCTGGGCTCAGGTCTCCTTTCCCTAGAGCTAGTCCGGATGGTGCTGTGTTCTACGTCTGTGATCAGTCCCTCGGAAACCAGCACCCCACCCCCTACCCCTAGCTCTACCCTGCTCCTCCCATTCTGGGAAAGCTACACTCTTCTCGACAAAGGTCAATGCCTGTAGGTTCCAGTTGGCCTGCCCCTCCCCCAGCTGGGAGCCCAATTCTTTGCTGTCCTTCCGACCCTCTCCAACACGGACCCAGCACGCTACTCGTACTCACCGGGTGCAGAAGGGCTTAAGGGATTAGGTGCACAGTGGACCGCACTCTGGGGAGCAGATGAGTCGGAAGACATGTGGCGTTGGGGCACAGCCCTTCCATAGCAGTGGGGTCACACGTCTGACCTGGCCACTTCTGCCCAATCAGGGAGCAGAGAGCCACTAGACACTGGCGAAGGCCCCCGGAAGTGACGCCTTCTCCTCCTACCCGTGCTGGGCCTGGATCCCCTGCCCTGGACCATGGTCCACTAATGAGGCCCAGTTCCTCCACCCACACACACCACAGGGAAGATTTACATAGGGGGATCCAGTTTTTCCTAGGAGCTGGAAACCTGGGACCCAGCTGGAGAAGAGGTGGGAAAGGAGGGGAGGATTTGTTCAGGAGAGATCTGGCAGTATGTGTTCATCCCTGGGGAAGAGTCTTGGAGGTCTTATTTTAGATTGGCGGGGTTTTCAGTTGCTGGCTATCCAAATTTCTTTTCCCTGGACACCACACCTGCTGTCAAAATCCAATAGGACTCTTGTTTCCTGTTTTTCTTTCCCAGAGTCCAGCCCCATGCCACCCAGGAGACCCTCTTGTCAGTCTTTTCTCCTTGGAAATGCGCATGTTGTATATCTTAGTGATCTTGTAAGGGGTCACATTATAGGCAAAGGTGCATTCAGCTGGAGGGGACTGGAAGCTGGAAGCTGGGTGCCTACCCAGGTGGGCGCTTGTCTGCTGGGCCCAGGGGCTTGGATAACTAACTAAGGCCACTTATCTCTGTGCCCATGTGTCCCTGTCTCAGAAAAGACAGCTGTTGGACCTCATCCAGCAAGTACCTCGCTGCTGGCCCCCTTCTTCCTTTGGCTGTGGCTCCTTGGCTTTTCCCTCAGTCCCAGGCTCCCCACAGTCTCTGTCTTCAGGGGTTCCTGACCCCACCCCTCCCTTCTCCCAGCTCTCTCCTGTTCCTCATCCCAAGGATAGGGCTGTCCGCTACAGAGGATGGCCTAGATCCCGGAATTCTCCAGTTCAGCCAGACGAGATGCCTCCCGAGATTAGGAAGGAGGGTGCTGGGGGAGGCTCATGGGGGAGTGGGTGGGAGGGGACAGGGCATAAGACCAGAAAACCAGGACAAAGGAGGCTGGGGGTGGGTTGGAGAAGAAGAAGGTCCTTGGGGTGAAGGAAGAGGTTGGGAAAGTGACAGGATGATGGTTGAATGGGTTTGAGGACAAGTGAGAGTGGAGAAGAAAACCCTGCCACTCACCCAAGGGGAAACACTGCCTATTTCTGGCCAAGTCCCTGTCGGGGAGCCCTAGAATGCAGACACCCTCAGGAGGGATGTGAATGCAGCCAGAGCCAGGGCTGAGGGAAGAAGGGTGCAGAAGACCCAGGGTCAGGGAGAGATCGGCTGTCACCCTTAAAGACAAGTCTTCATCCTTCAGGCAGGGATGGGTCCTCCCCTCAGTGACGGGTCCAGGCCTCGGGCCCAACCTCTGCCTGAGGATCTCAGGCTGGACACATATGTCCTGGTTCACCCTGTGGCTGTCGGCAGAGGGGGGCTCCGGGACCGCCTCTCCTCCCCCTCTGTGCGCCCCCGGCCCTCCCCGCCCCCTTCCCCTCCCTCCTCTCCTGCCCGGTCCCAGCCCCTCCCTCCCCTCCCCCACGCGCGATCCGGGCCGCTGCTGCTGGGCCGGACCCCCCGGGCTCAGCCCGGCCCCTCGCCGAGCCGCCGCCGCCGCCCCGTTTGCAGAGGAGGAGGCCCCCGGCCGGGGTGTCGGGCGCGGGGCATAAAACGGGCCGGAGCCGGCGCCCGGGGCACTGGAGCCGCGCACGGCCCGGGTCAGCGCCCGCCCCGCCCCGCCCGGCGCCGACTCCGACTCCGACTCCGACTCGCACTCCGCGGCCGCTGGCCGAGCCCCTCGCCGCCGCCCGCCCCCGGCCCGGCCCGGCCCGGCCCGGCCTCCTCCCCGCGCCCCGCCCGCGCCGCGCGCCGCCTCCCGCGTCCCGCCCGCGTCATGCCGAGCCTCCCGGCCCCGCCGGCCTCGCGGCTGCTCCTCGGGCTGCTGCTGCTCGGCTCCCGGCCGGCCCGCGGCGCCGGCCCCGAGCCCCCCGCACTGCCCATACGCCCGGAGCAGGAGCCGCTGCCCGTGCGGGGCGCGGCAGGTAGGTGGGCGCCGAGGGCCGGCGCAGGTGGCGCGGCCGGCGGGCGGGCGGGCGGGCGGAGGGGCGCACAGGGACCCGGGGGGGGGGGGACCGCGGCCGCCAGCCAGGCTCGTCCCCGCAGGCTGCTCCTTCGGCGGCAAGGTCTACGCCGTGGACGAGACGTGGCATCCGGACCTGGGGGAGCCCTTCGGGGTGATGCGCTGCGTGCTTTGCGCCTGCGAAGCGGTGAGTGGACGCGCGGCCACCGCCCGGGGTCCTGGAGTGCAGGGCTGGGGCAGCGGAGTGGACTCCAGAGAAGGGGCAGGTCTGCCAGTGTTCGGGATGCTGTGCGGGTGCAGGAAGAGAGGTCGCCCCTTTGGGTCTCGGGTATGCGGGGCCGCGGAACGCGCGGGGCGGCTCGGCGCCGACCACAGTCCGTAGCCTGTGTCACTTAACTCCCATCGCAGCCTCGCTAGGCAGATGCCGGTGTCGCCCCCACTTTCTGGACTGGACCCTGAGGCCCGCGAGCCCCACGGAGGTTAAGCGACTTGTCCAGGGTCGCGGCCACCCGCTCTGACTCTGCTGACCCAGCACGTTCTGGTCCCTGGACTGCTCCTTTCTTCCCCTGGTCTGACCATTTGACATCTTGCACTCACTTCATTTTTCCGTGTTCTCTGCGATCAGCCTCAATGGGTTCGTCGTGGGAGGGGCCCTGGCAGAGTCAGCTGCAAAAACATCAAGCCCGAGTGCCCAACCTTGGCCTGCGGGCAGCCCCGCCAGCTGCCAGGACATTGCTGCCAGACCTGCCCCCAGGGTAAGGATGGCTCCGCCCACAGGGCCCGGAGCACCACCAGGTTGAGGGCGGCTTAGACCTGGACCGGGGCTGCCTGCTGAAGCCAGAGCGTCTCTTACAACCCCAGGCACAGAGCGCAGCGACTTGGAGCAGCCGCCGCCAAGCCTGGCCTTCGAATATCCGAGGGACCCAGAGCACCGCAGTTACAGCGACCACAGCGAGCTGGGGGCCGAGGAGCGCGCGCGCACCGAAGGCCACACGGGTGGGTAGGCAGGGGCCGAAGGGGTGGGGTCGAGGCCGGGGCGGGCCGCCAGCGCCAGCGGGGGCTGACAGTACCCACGCCGTCCTCCTTCCCTTGCAGACTTTGTGGCGTTGCTGACAGGGCCGAGGTCGCAGGCGGTGGCACGTGCCCGGGTCTCGCTGCAGCGCTCCAGCCTCCGCTTCTCCATCTCTTACCGGCAGTGAGAAAGGGGAAGGAAGGAGGGAGGCTGTAGGAGTGGGTGGGGGAGGAGCCTCCCACCTCACTGCACCTCTCCTTGCTAGGCTGGACCCCCCCAGCCGGGTCCGCTTCTCCGATGCTTCAGGCAGCGTCCTCTTTGAACACCCTGCAGCACCCACTCAAGATGGCCTGGTGAGACGATGCCATTTATGATAAGCGCTTGTCCAGTCTGGGTACTGGACCTGAAGCAGTGCAGGCTCTGCCTGGCTGCCCTGGGTCCTGGCAAAGTGCTCGGCGGGAGGAAGGTGCTGACACCATGGGGCCCATTTTACAGATGAGGGAACCGAGGCTCGGTAGCAGAGTGTGATTTGTCCAAGGTCACAGAGTTAGTAAGCAGAGCAGCCAGGATTTGAGAACAGCCTCTCGCTGCCAGGGTCCTTTCTAAGCCTCCTCAGCCAGCCCTATGCTTCCTTACCAGGCCTGGGAATCTTTCTTAGCCAACCTCTCATGTGTACTGAGTGCAGGCCTTGTCTCTCTGCTCCAGGTCTGTGGGGTGTGGCGGGCAGTGCCTCGGTTGTCTCTGCGGCTCCTTAGGGCAGAACAGGTGCATGTGGCACTTGTTACACCCACTCACCCCTTGGGGGAAGTCGGGGGGCCTCTGATCCGGCACCGGGCCCTGGCTGCAGGTAAGGGGAGCACCCGGCCCTGGCATGTGAGGATCTGCTGCTTCTCTGTCCAGGGGCCTGGGTGGGGTGAGGAAGGGGTTTTCTGATGGGCTGTCCCCATCTCCCCTCCTCCAGAGACCTTCAGTGCCACCCTGACTCTGGAAGGCCCCCAGCAGCAGGGTGCAGGGGCCATAGCCGTGCTCACCCTCAGTGACACAGAGGATGCCTTGCATTTTCTGCTGCTCTTCCGGGGGCTGCTGGAACCCATGAATGCCGGTAAGTGGGGGAGGGAAACACTGGAGAAGGCGGAGAGGGCACAGCCTCTTGGAAACGTCCACATGCAGGGCTGTTGCAGGACCAGCCCAGGTTCCTGTGAGGCTCCAGATTCTGCGAGAGGGGCAGCTGCTGCGAGAACTCCAGGCCAACACCTCGGCCCAGGTGAGGGAGGGTCCGGCCAATGTTGTCATGTGCTTTGGCCTCTCACTGTTGCCCACTGCACCCTGCTCTGTCCCCAGGATCCAGGCTTCGCTGAGGTGCTGCCCAGTCTGACAGCCCAGGAGATGGACTGGCTGGTGCTGGGGGAATTGCAGATGGCGCTGGAGAGGGCAGATAGACCAGAGCTGCGCCTCAGGGGGTACATCGCTGTCCGGCGGAGCTGTGATGGTGAGGCAGCGTGGGTCTGGAACATTAGGGGCATGTGACCAAGAGGCACAGAAGAGGGCTGGGTGGCTTGGGGAGTGCGTGGGCATGGGCCAAGCCTGCCACCACCTGTCTTGGCCCTCTGCAGTCCTACAAAGTGTCCTTTGTGGGGCCGATGCCCTGGTCCCTGTTCGCACGGGCGCTGCCGGCTCTGCCAGCCTCACCCTGCTGGGAAATGGCTCCCTGCTCTACCAGGTACAGGGTCAGGGGCTGCAGGGGCTGGGGAGAGCAGTGGGGCAGGGCCCCTTTGCTGCCTTTCCAGTTCCTCCTCCCCTCCCCTGGCCACCAGGTCCAAGTGGTGGGGACGGGCAGTGAGGTGGTGACCATGACCCTGGAGACCAAGCCTCAGCAGAGGAATCAGCATACTGTTCTGTGCCACATGACCGGACTCCAGCCTGGAGGACACATGGTGAGAGCGCCAGGCAGAGCTGGGCCATGGGGCCTGTGTGCTGGGGCTGCTGCTGGGAGCCAGGTGGGACAGCGGGGACATGCAGCATCATTCATTTCATCCTGAGCTCTCTCGCTGGCTTGTGACACAGCTTCAGTGAGCCTCAGACTGAGGACTGGACAGTTCGATGTGGCCCCCTGTCTTCAACAAGCTGCAGTTTTGTTTAGTGGAGATAGTCTTGCCTTGTTGTTCAGGCTGGCCTTGAACTCGCTCTGGTCCTCCTGAGTGCTAGGGTTATAGGCGTGTGCCACCAGCCCCCCACCTCAGCAAGTTTCAGGTGAATGGCAAGAGTGAGGAAGAATAGTGCAATAGACTGTAGAATAATCAGTATGATAGCAATGGTCGCTACTTCCTATGTTTCAGGTAGGATTGGGAAGGCAGCTCAGTGTGGCGTGTTGGCCTATGCACGGGGCTGTGGGTTCAATCCTTGGTACGGGATAGCAGAAAAGAGGCACTTCACTGGTTACCTTATTTTTATATCTTTTGCCTTTCATGCTGCCCATCTGATAAGGAAGTAAAGGCCCAGAGAGCTGAAATAATTCTTCAAGATTGTTATGTAGCTAGGAAGGGGCAGAGAGAGAACTTGATCTAGAAAGTTCTTTATTAGTGTGTGTGTGGCATGTGTCTATGAGTATAGTGGGGACACAGGGTGTGGAAAGGCCTCAGAATTGGGGTTGTGTGAAAGTTGAGGGGCTCTTCTCTTTCTCCTGCCCTCCCCAGGCTGTGGGTATCTGCCCCAGGCTGGGTGCACGAGGGGCTCACATGCTGCTGCAGAATGAGCTCTTCCTGAATGTGGGTACCAAGGACTTCCCGGATGGAGAGCTGCGGGGGCATGTGGCTACCCTACCCTACAGTGGGCACAGTGCCCGCCATGACAGTGAGTGCCCTGGTGTCTGCCTGTCCTCCCGTGTCCCCTGCCCTGTGACTCAGATGTGAGATGCTACCAGCCGGCCAGAGTCTTATGTGTCTTCCCCTGCATGAGCTTTGGGTTGGCATCTGGAGAATGGGGCACACGCAGGGTGGCCCTGCTGGCAGGCCCTGTCTGTCGCCACGGTGCATGCATGAGTCTAACACTTGCTGTTCTCCAGGCTCTGGCCCTATGAACAGTGGGGGAGATGGAGAATGCTGAGATTAAGGGGCTCTAGGCTGACTTCTCATCTGTCACCTCTCCTCTGTCTGGACCCAGCATTGCCTGTGCCCCTGGCAGGAGCCCTGGTGCTGCCCCCTGTGCAGAGCCAGGCAGCAGGGCATGCCTGGCTCTCCCTGGATACACACTGCCACCTCCACTATGAGGTGCTACTGGCTGGGCTCGGTGGCTCAGAACAGGGCACTGTCACGGCCCACCTCCTAGGGCCTCCTGGGATGCCAGGGCCCCGGCGGCTGCTGAAGGGATTCTACGGCCCAGAGGTGCGGACCTGATGGTGGGAGACAGCGTGGAGGGCTGAGCAGGGCTGTGGTGGGGAGGCAGAGAGCCGGCAGCCTGCTATTACAGACCGGGCATGGGCTGGGGAGTCAGATGGACCGGGGTGTGATCTGGCTCAGCCTTTTGTTTTGCATTCATTCTCAGGGAGTTCGTGGGCTACTGTGGCATGTCCTTGGCCACTAGAGGGGAAAGGATTGGGGGGAGGTGAACCAAACCCATAGACCTGGAATCAGAGAGACCTGACCTAGCTTCCAAGCTTCCTACACTGCTCGTGGCTTTGTTACTGGAGAGACTTCAATCTCTCTGGGTCTCAGTTTTTCTTCTACAAACTGGGGACAGTAGGTTCCACCCTAAAGCGCCTTGCTGCCATCCCTCATCCTGTGCAGGCCCAGGGTGTGGTGAAGGACCTGGAGCCTGAGCTACTTCGACACCTGGCGCAGGGCACTGCTTCTTTGCTGATCGCCACCAAGGGAAGCCCTAGAGGGGAGCTCCGCGGGCAGGTAAATGAGCAGTGTGGCCATAACAAGGTGCAGCGGCCAGCCAGTGCCATGTGTCTTTGCACTTGTCACTTGGTCTCTCAACACCCTGTGAGAAGGGTGAAGCCATACAAGGCATCTAAGGGGGCTGGCAGCCCACAGCCCTGGCCCTGCAGCTCGGTGATCGCTGTGGCTAACTGCAGTCACCTGGAACTGCAGCACTCAAGGGTCAGAGCCGTGGCTGGTGATGCTAGGGGATGTCTGGAGCACACAGCCCCTCCACCGGCCTCTGCTTCCAGGTACATATCGCCCACCAGTGTGAGGTGGGGGCCCAGCACCTTGCTGCGGCCGGGACAGAGGGGATGCGGATGCCTGAGGCTTTGGATGCAGCCACCAGACCTGTGATGCCCGCTGCCCTGGCCCCTGAGGCCCCTGCACCTGCCAAACCTGGAGGTTCTGGGCGGCTCCGAGACCCCAACACATGCTTCTTTGAGGGGCAACAGCGCCCCCATGGGGCTCGCTGGGCACCCAACTATGACCCACTCTGCTCCCTCTGCACCTGCCAGGTAAGTAGGAGATTCAGGAAGGGCAATGAGGAGGATGGGGGACAAGGGACTGGAACCTGGTCAGCGCCTCTGCTCCTCTCTGCAGAGACGAACGGTGATCTGTGACCCCGTGGTGTGCCCGACCCCCAGCTGCTCACACCCGGTGCAGGCGCCTGACCAGTGCTGCCCAGTGTGCCCTGGTGAGTTCTCTGCAGGGCTGTAGGGGATGGGCTCCCAGGGCTCGAAGGGGGTGGGTCACATTCTGCTTCCCTTTCTTTGGTTCCACAGAGAAGCAAGACACTAGAGACCTGCCGGGGCTTCCAAGGAGTCAGGACCAGGGAGGTGAGCGGGAAGGGTACATGCAGGGGTGGGAGCATTTAGGGAGCCATTGGGTTGGACCAAGAGGATATGAGAGTGTGTGGGAGAGGGGAAGGGCAAAGGACACAGGGGCCAGGTGTCACCCGACAGGCCTCATTAGTGTTTCTGGCCCCCAGTAGCCTTTGGGTTAGGCTATTGTGTGCTGGCCTGAAGCTCAAGCCTTGATTGTGGGCACAGATGATGAGCTCAGTACTAACAGCAGCTGGGCACCCTCCCTCACCAGGCTGCTATTTTGATGGTGACCGGAGCTGGCGGGCAGCAGGTACCCGGTGGCACCCTGTCGTGCCCCCCTTTGGCCTAATTAAGTGTGCTGTCTGCACCTGCAAGGTATGGCCGCCCATGGTCTCTGGTCATAAGCCAGTGGGGTCTGCAGAGTAGGGGCGGGAGTGGGCTGGAAAGCAGTGCTGTCCATGTTGGGCAGAGTGGGGAACTCAAGGATGCAAACATGCTGGAGAAGCCCTGTGGGCTTCTGATTGCATCGTGGTGGTGAACTCAGTGGGCTGCTTGTTGTCACTGAAAGCTCTAAGAGGTTTGTCATCACTGCTATAGAAGACAAGGGGCTGACCTGGGTGCAAATTCTGCCTCTGCCCCCTGCTGACTCCATGGGACCTGGGTGTTTTCTGAACCTCCCTGTGTCACCCATTTCTGTCCTGTAAGCAAATAAACATCACCTATCTTGTAGGGCACAGTGACGATTTGAGTTCAGGTGTGTAGAGCAGGCCCAGGACTCTGAGTAAAACGCCATGCATATATTTCATTGGAGTGGGGAAAGAAGTGGGAGGAAGAAGGAGGCTTATGTGTCCTGCTCCTCCCTGACACCCATCATGCATTGGGTTCCCACAGGGGGGCACTGGAGAGGTGCACTGTGAGAAGGTGCAATGTCCCCGACTGGCCTGTGCCCAGCCTGTCCGCGCTAACCCCACTGACTGCTGCAAGCAGTGTCCAGGTGAGGAGCTTGGGCTCTGAGACCTTACCCTTGGGGTTGGGACAGCATTAACCTGGGTGAGAGGAAGGGGCCTCTCAGCTGTTTCAGCATCTAATGAGCACAGCTCTGTGCCCGTCCTGAAGCCAAAGCTCTGAGCACAGTGCGGAGAATGTGCCCCTCCTAGTGGGACGTGGTGGATTTTAGTTTCTATTCTGTCCATCCATCCATTCATCCATTCATCCATCATCCATCCATCCATCTATACATTGATCCATCATCCATCCATCCATCCATCCACTGATCATCGATTGATCCATCTATTGATCTGTTAATTCATTGATCCACCCATCAATTCATCCATCTATCTATCCAACCACCCACCTACCCGTTGATCCGTCCATCCATCTATCCATCCATCCATCCATCATCCATTCATCCATCCATCCGTCCATCTATCCATCCATCCAAATTTATCACCCACTAAGTGCCAGAAACTGCTAGGTGGTGGGAAGTCAAAGAGAAATCAAAGGTGGGGCTGACCCTTGCTTCTTTCCCTCCCAACCATGGGGTCAGGGTCCCACCCCCAGCTGGGGGACTCCATGCAAGCTGATGGCCCCCGGGGCTGCCGTTTTGCTGGACAGTGGTTCCCAGAGAGCCAGAGCTGGCACCCATCAGTACCTCCCTTTGGGGAGATGAGTTGTATCACCTGCAGGTGTGGGGTAAGTGGGGCCCTGCAGTGGGAAGCTCTTCCTGGGGTTTCCTAGAGGTGGGCTTCCTGGAAGAGGTTGATGTCCACTGCAGCCTAGCGCCATTGGGGATGTTCAGTGTCTGCTTTGTCCTACACCAGGCAGGGGTGCCCCACTGTGAGCGGGATGACTGCTCACTGTCATTGTCCTGTGGCTCGGGGAAGGACAGTCGATGCTGTTCCCACTGTACACGTCGGCGGTGTAAGTGAGGGAGGCTGGGGACAGCAGCTGTGGACTGGCCTGCTGGTTGCGGGATACCTGGGAGGGAGGGGAGCCCTGGGAGCCTGTGTGCTGCCAGGAACCGTGCCATCTGTTTCTTGGGCACCATCCTAGTCTGCCCACACAGGTTGTCGCCCACCAGGGGTTGTCATGTATCATCATTTCTTTACAAATGAGATTTCTGAAGCTTAGAGGATCAAGCAGCTAGACTGAGGTCACACAGCTGGTGTGCACTGACTTACTGGGACAGTCATTTTCTTTCTGGGACCAGGGCAGGGGTGCTATGCTCAGGTCCCCTGTGGGTTTCTCCCTGCTACCTTGTTCCCTCTCCTCCTCCAACCTTCTGTCTCCAGCAGCCCCTGAGACCAGGACTGTTCCAGAGCTGGAGAAAGAAGCCCAAGGCTCATAGGAAGCAGCCGGAAGGTCGTGTGACCAAGAGGCCAGGGTCTGAGTTGGGGGGCGATGCCGAGGACGCTGCCTTCTTCCATGTGGAAGCCCAGTGCCTTTAGCTCCTCCGTTCTGCCTCTTCTCCCCTCCCCCACTACCTCTGGGAACCAGGTGGCCAGGCTGGGCCGTGGCCATACCCACTCCAGCTCTGCCCTGCCGCCCTCTGGCCTCTGCCCTGGAAGCCCCACCGTTTCCTTCTGTACATAATAATGTCACTGGCTTGTTGGGATTTTTAATTTATCCTCACTCAGCACCAAGGGTTCCCCCCCCACCCCACTCCTGCTGCCCCTGAGCTGAGCAGAGTCATTACTGGAGAGTTTGGTATTTATTAAAACATTGTTTTTCAGTCTTTGGGCTCCAGATGGGCTCTTTTTTGGCCAGGGACCTGAGTGGGTCCCAGTGGGAAACGGTCTGAGGGTAGGATGTGAGAGGGGGAGCTCTGGACAGGGTGAAGATGGCACAGCAGTTGGCTGGCACAGCTGGATTCGGCAGAGGGGTTGGGGCTGCCCCAGGGCTGGATTGGAGTTTCCGGAGCACAAGCAGCCTGAAGCAGGATTCGAACTGAAGCTCAGAATTGTTTTCTACCTGGCTGTGTATGTGGAGCTGCTCCAGAAGAAGAACAGAAGAGTCACTTGCTTTATTCTTTTTGCTTTTGTTTTATGTTTTTTTTGGTACCAGCAATTGAACTCAGGACTTAGTGCTTGCCGGGCAGGCCCTATGCCACTGAGCTCTATCCCTACCGAGTCTTCCTGTTCTTTCCTGGAAATGCATGATGTTCTGGACCAAGTCATAGGACACGTCCAGATCAGAATGACCGGGATCAGCTCAGATCCGGTTCTTGATTGAGCTCATCTGGAGATCAAGTGATGCGAGGCCCAAAACAAGACGCCACACGCCTGCCACGTTTCCCCCCTTCCCGCTCACCCCTGCCGGTTATTCCCACAGGCCCCACGAGCTGCAGGAAATAAAGACCATCAGGACGGAAACTTAACAGGGTGCACAACCAGCAGATCTGTGTTTTGTGTAAACCGTACAGGGTAAAATGAAAGGATTTTATGACCTAGTAGGGCAGAAGGAAAGGAAAATCGTATTCTTTTTATTTAGTGCGAGGCACGCTGTGTGCAGTTCGTTACTGTCTTTGCTCTTTGGAATACCCAGTTCCAGTTCTGCTGTTGACTAGCTGAATTATTTCACTTCTGTGAACCCTTTTCATAAAGCAGATATCTCTCTCCCAGGACACAATCAGAACATGTGCTTTTCATAGCAGGGCAGTGCCTGGCCCGTGCTCATTGGCAAAGACACTAACTGTAGTAGAATTTCTGGAGCTGGTTTGGGAATTTCTGGAGGTGGCAGGGAGAAATGTGGGCAGAGAGGGCTGATGGGTTTCCATTCTGTTTGCCAGGCTGTGCATGGAGGAGTCAGGCTGAAGATGCAGGGGTGATAAGGATGGGGGTCCCCAGGCTCAGGCCAGTTAGGGATGAGAAAGCAGCAGGATTCAGCGTGGGGTTAGACACAGGGAACCGGGTTTAGGGCTTGGTGTGGTGGGAGGGAGGATCTGGTCTGGAAATGGATGTGGGGACAGTACTGTCCTCCCTGTGAGGGTACAGGGAACTAGGCACAGGTCAGCTTAGGGTCCTCACCCCAGGATCCTGAACTGCAGGTACCTCCAAGGCTTCAGCGCAGGCCTCAGCTGGGCAAAGGGAGGGGGGCATCAGATGCTAGATCCAGGCAGAGCAGTGTCCTTGAAACACTTCCCATCCTAGCCTGCGTTCTAACCCAAACTGGCCAGGCCCTAGGTCCCACCCATGCCCCAAGGGGCGAGTGACATGGTGACTGGGGAAATCCTGCCCTGTGCAGTGATCCTGGGAGCCCTGGCATACAGAGACCTCAAGAGGGCTCCCCATCCCTTCCCCTTCAGACACTGTCAAGAGCCATTTCCCTCTCTAAAGAAACCAAGCCAAGCCAAGAAAACACAGCAGCAAAAGCCCCAGGAGAGACCCATTTTTCCGGATAGAATATTTCAGGTCAAAACAGTTACTTGTGGGATTTAAACCTTGGCTTTGGTATGTCAGGTGACAGATGCCACCAGTTTGGAGCGATGGCACAGTGAGGCTGCTGGCAGCCATCAGCCACCAGGGCCGTTGTGTGGGCATCTGGATCATTACGGGAGTGACTGAGGAAGAGCAGCGCTCACTGTGGCCTGAGCCATGTGAACATGCCATCAGCAGACAGAGCTACGAGGGTCCCGGGACCTACGACGCGTGCAGAGTCCAGGGCGCTAGCGCTGCTCGCAATGCTGCGGTCCACAACCGAGCTGGTTACTTTAAAAAAAAAAAAAGTTTTTGGACTTTGGAGTTTTATTGCATTTCATCCCTGGACCTTTTATAAACTAATGAGAAAGAGGAAGACAAAAGTAACAGCAAGGAGCATTCTTGGGGCAAGGAGGGATGTCCCTCGTGCACAGATGGGACGCTGATATAAACACTCATGCTGGTTAGGGATTGAGGAGCATGCGCAGTGCTCCCAGGAGGAGCCACTCCTGGTGCTGTCGTTTGCTTTTGAAATTTTTACTTTGGTGGACAAAGGGGGCTTCCAGAATCGGTTTTGTTCATCATGGAAGGAAATCACCGTGAATAATTTCAGCAATACGCAGATATGGGACGGAAGAGGGAATGGATCACCTGCTACTCCAAACCTCAGGAACGGTTCTCAGAGCAGCCGCTGAGCGGTTTTGTGAAGCATTTAGCTGCTTCGCTGCACTCCAGCCCGCTCTGGGTCTTGCCCCTTACAGTGTCTCGGTCTTGCCACCTGTGCAGTGGCTGTGATGTTACAGTTTGGGGTGGTTATTTTTTGGCAGCCTTTGGAGGTGGGGCTGGGAGAGGAGCAGAGCACGTTTAAGGGAAGTCTGACCTCTGACACTGAAAGTAGCTGAAGAGACACAAAAGCAGAATGTTGGAAAAAATGTCCAATAGCTCAGAAAAGCTGGAAAATTGGTGTTCAGTGATCTGATCTTTAGGAAATTGAGCAGATCCCGCCAGTGGGCCCCAGGTCCTCAGCTGCTGGGTGCTGGGCAGGCCAGGAGAATGTCCCATCCTCGCATGGGCAGCAGAGGTCACCACCCAGCAGGGTATCTGCTACGGAGGCTCCTGCTTTTCCTGGGGAGGGGTCGTCCACCGGGGCTTCCTGTCTGCTTGCTTTGGCTACCAGCTGAGTGGCTGAGCTGCAGCCTCTTGCGATTCTCCAGGTTTCTCCTGCTGCTTTGGAGCTGAAGTCCCTGTCCTACTTTGGGGACAGAGACGGACTCTGTCCTGTACATAGCGGGACAGACAAGGCATGGCTGACAGTAGCGGGTGCCGGTAAAGTGTCTGATGAGCTGGGGCCAAGGCCTTCTCCTCGCAGGGTCAGCAAGGCTGCCGTCTCGATGCAGGGAAGACGCCCCGGCCAAGTGCGTTTGCTTCCAGTTCAGCAGCTGGGGAACCTCAGGAGTCTGACGCGGCGGCACAGGAGCACATGAGGCTGGAGCAGGTGGCCGAGGCTGGGATTCCACTTGCCCGGCAAGGACGTGAAATGCACAGCCTGTTAATGCTGCCGGAATTCCTGGAGGCCCGGGACTTTGAATACAGGGGCCTTGGTCCCAGAAAGGCCCCTGCTCTGAGGGAAAGTGAGGGAAGCTGGGGACCAGTCTCTCCTACATGAGTATAAAAAAACATAAGGTTCTTTCAAAGCCAAAGCTTCTGTAGCTTTTTCTGCCTTTTACATCGGCAGCGGTAGCGACATATGTTTTAGACTGGGGGAAGAGTTGTGCGCGTGTGTGCGTGCGGTGCATATATGTGTGTGTGTAGGTGCGCGGCAAGGCAGAGGGCTCAGTAGTCAGAGCCAGGGAGAAGCAGCTGACAGGTACTTTTTACTATGTACCATTGTCAGCTTAGTCACTTTTAAATAGCTAGTAAGGAACACAATGATATGTATGGAGTACTGCCCCCATCTGGGCACCTAGATCCATCCCCTAAAGAGACTCACTGTGCTAATTTCGCCCTCTCTGTCTGTCTCTCTTTCTTTCTTTTGGTATTGGGAAATGAACTCAGGACCTTGCATTTGCCAGGCAGGCACTATGTCACTGACCTACACCCCCCCCCCCACCATTGCTAATTCCTTGCATATAGAAAAGCGTTTTAAACATAGGGATGTCTAAGGTCCAAGTCTAAGTTACCTGCATTGTTGTGATACAGACTGGATTTTCTCAAACTCTCACAAAGCACTTGGATCCTCTGAGGGGCTTGTTAACCACAGATGCTGATTCAGAAGGTCTGGGTGGGGCCGGAGTGCCTTCATTTTCTGATGGGACACCAGGGGCCCCTGATGTTGCTGGTTTAGGGACACCTTGTGAGTAGCAGTGATGCAGGCAGCCCCTCACCTTACACTTTCAGCAAAATGAGCTCTATCATTAAGGTTTCTGGTAAGTTATTGAGCATTTTTTTGTCCTAAGTGCTGGGGAGTCAGCCGGGAATGAAACTGACACAAAGCCCTGTCCATGTGGAACTTACAAACTTGTGGGAGAAGATCATCAATAATGTACCTACTGGCTTTCTGTTATAGTAACAAAATGCCTGAGAGAATCAATTTAAAAAGGAGGGAAGGTTTATGTTGGCTCGTGGTTTCAGAGGTTTCAGTCTATGGTCGCTTGACTTGCTGCTTTGGGCCTGCAGTGGTTCAGGACAGCATGTAGCAGAGGAGGCCTATTTACCTAATGGTTGCTGGGGAGACACAGAGGGGTTGGAGTCTCGGTGACCTACCTTTCTCCCGCTAGACCCTGCCTCCTGAAGTGTCTGGCACCTGCCAATGGCACTACTCCCATGGATAACCCCTTCAACAGTAAGCTTTTGGGGGACACTCTGATCCAAACTATAGCAGCACATGTAATAAACAGATCAACTGCAATGCACAATAAATACAGTCCATAAGTCAAATGGTGGGGCTATGGAAAACAGAGCAAGAGGAGGGGAACTGGCTGTGGGCAAGGAGGAGCTGGATGTGATTTTAGAAGGGATGGTTTGAGGGCCAGGGATATAGCTCAGTGGCACAAGCACCTGCCTGTTAAGCTCAAGGACCCGAGTGCCATTCCAGGTTTTTAAAAAAGGAAAAAGATGGTTTGAGAAACATTCCAGTCAGGTGCCATTTTGAATGGAAATTCATAAAAGGGTAGAGAATGTGTCATGGGGATAAGTAACAGTTTAAAAAAGTTTTATCTTATTTTAATTTTTTTGAGACAAGGCCTTACCACTCAGTCCCTGCTGGTCTCGAACTTTCTGTGTAGCCCAGGCTGGCCTCAAATTCATGAGGATCCTCCTGCCTCAGCCTTCCAAATGCTGGGATTATAGACATGTTCCACCACACCCAGATCGTAATGGTTTTTTAAACATTAGGAATGTGGCTAAATTTCTTGTCAAGGGAAACAAAAGGAACTCACATGCTGGAATTGTGAAATTTGCCTGAAATCAATGGGTCAGTAGCCATCAGAACTCAGCGTGAAAGAAAGCTGAGAAAAAGAGTTCCTCGGGATACTGAGGAGACAAATGAGCCTCCGCAAGAAGAGAGGATGAAATTTTGATTCAGTTATATGTGAATCTCAAAGGACACAGTGTCTCATCTAACATTTAAATTATATATTATATAAAGATAAAATATGACCAGAGTGAGCATTAAAGAACTAGCTATTACCTGGTACAGTTAGGCCACATGCATTAATGTGTTGGTGTGTTTGTCTGAGTTTGCTTACAAGATATAATCACTGGGGCATTTGGGAGTCTGCAGAAGGAGGGAAAAAGGAGGATTTATTCAGGGCTAGGAAGGGAAATTCCCATAGCATCTCCACTGAGGACGAGCTATAATTTAAGCGCATACTTTGTGGTTAGAAATGTTAGAGTCCAAAATGCCCCAGAAAGCATAAAGCGGCTTCCAGGCTGGCAGGCAGTTGGGGCTGCAGTTTGCAAAGCTTGCCCAACACCACCTAAGGCAGCACCTTGCCAGGAAACACAGGGCAGTCCCTGGAAACTCTGAGGAAAGGGGTGAATGGGAAAAGGGGGAACACAGGGCTGACGGTGAGGGGGAAGTACCTGTTAGACTCACCAGGTGAGCCAGCCGCAGGTGGTGAGTACAGGAAATGTCCCGTTCTTTCTCAGTAACTCCAGCAGCTGAAATGGGCCCAGCCCAGTTTGTCTTCCCAGGGAAACCACGTGGGAGAGGACCAGCACCCCTCCTCCTACTCCCCCTGGCACCCCAAGTCTCCAAGAGTCTAAATCAGATTTACTTTTAGGGCCCACACCCCCCTTTGGCAAAAACATTACTGCACCTGCTGGCCGATGCCTGTGATTCTTAGCAGAGGTTTTTCCTGCTGAAAATGGAAGAAGGAAGCTTTTCATTGTTAATGACGGGGTGAGCTATTAGGCTATGCGAGGAAAGCACAATCTATCTGTCAGCCAGAGTAAATGGCTCTTGTCAGAGCCTGTTACTTTTTCAACAAGCAAGAGAAAGGAATAGATCACAGAGGACTCAGTGGCCAGGCTTTCCAGGCAGGGACATTCACGGGAGCCCGGCTATTTACCTTCCACAGTTCCAAGGAGCAGACGTTGCTTGGTGGAGAGGAATTTGTGTCCTGAACATCTGTATGCTTGGCCAGTTTAGCGGGAACTCTGCCACCCAGACATATGATTCACATCAACTGTGTTTTTCATGAGTTTTAGAGACTCTTTTTTTTTTTTTTTTTTTTAAGCAAGGCTGACGTCATTACGAAGGAACTTTTTCCTCATAGGTTGCAACTGAGGTGCTGCTGCAAGTGGCATTGGACGAGACCTTCGGAGAAGCTTTTTTTGTTTTTTAATTTTTAAATTTTTTCTGCCTTTCTCCAGAAATGGGTGAGTAGGGGAACCTCCGGACAGGGATGAGAGAAATACTGTTTTATTTGTCATACATGCAATGACGCTTCACTGGAAAAGTTCTGAAAAATGGGAGCCACATAACATGAAGAAAAATTAAGTGAATTTCTTTAATAAAATTAAAACTCCAGCTCAGAATGTTCCACTCCTCTTCTACCTCTAATTTTTCTTCTCTAATTTTTTTCCTGAAGATTTAATATGCCATGATTTGTTTAAAAATTAGCATTTTTAGGGTGGTGTTTCTCTCTCTCTCTCTCTCTCTCTCTCTCTCTCTCTCTCTCTCTCTGTCTCTGTCTCTCTGTCTCTCTTTTTCTTGGTACTTGGGATTGAACCCAGGACTTTTGCCCTGAACTACATTTTCAGCCTATTTATTTATTTATTTATAATGTAGAGACAGTGTCTAATTTCTAAGTTACCCAGGCTGGGCTCCAAATTGTGATCCTTCTGTCTCAGCCTCCCAGAGAGCTGGAATTACAAGTTTGGGTCATTATGCTAGGGCCATGAGGCACGTGTTTTAAATATAAAAATATTGAAGTAGAATATTTGGTTTAAAAAATGCAAACAAATAATAATAATAAAATAACCACGAAAAAAAATTCTTTGTGGAGACCACAAGATCTTTTGAAACGTTTTCTTCTTGCTGTGGGTTTCGTTGGGCTCACCCTCTGGGGATAGCTACATCCCTCCTTCCTTGCTGGACACATCATCAGATTTTGTCATGGGCTGTTGGGATTCGAAGAGACACAGCGCCGGGTCATTTGGGTTAAACCAGGCACAGGAGCCAGGCTGAAACCCAGACTCGGGTCATCCTGGTGAGGTGGCTGGCCCCGGCCAGCACATAGCGCCTTGCGTGATGAAGGGTGAGTTAGGACATCCCAAATAACCCAGCTGAGGCCCTGGGGAGCCATCGGGGTGCACGCAGGCAAGTGGTCGCTTTTTCCAGGAAGTGACTGCAGCCCGAGGAAGTCCAAGATGCCACTCTGGGGGAGGTGGGGTGGCCCTGGGAGCTGTTAGAAGCCACCCCAAATCCTAACGCTGCCCGCATATAGCTATGGTTACCTCAGTCATTTGCAATGGGTGTATTCATTTCGGTTGCCAAGAAGGCCGAGTGGAGTGGATGTAGGCTCAGTACACTGACATTTCAGGCTGAGGAGGGTGGCGTTGAGGGGCGTGGGAGTCTCCCGAGGAGAAGAAAATTGCACTTTGACAGCAAATCTTGTGATGCCTGGATCGCCGAGAAGAGCCTCCGTTCACTCATTAGCGGAAATGTCCCAGAAATGTGGTGAATCCAGAACAGGCAGCTGCTTGGTAGAGTGCTCTGAATCCAAGCACAGAGAGACTTGGTAGCTGTGTGACCGTGGAAGGGCAAGGCCTTTGCCCTGTGTGACTCTGTTTCTGGCAAAATGGCGATCATAATGGTTTTGTGCTTGGTTGTTGTAAGGGCCCTAGAAATGTATGTGCTGTCCTTGGCATATGAGTAGCTGGCCACTGAATAACAGCACAGTCCTTGGCTCTGATAATGGGCGTGAGAATCGCCGTGGAGCTGTGCAGGCTACATGCTCTGGAAGGGTGAGGTCATGCTGGGGTGGAGGGACTAAGCACTTAGACTTCCATTACCACCGTGGGTGTGACCACAACCTTTCTACCTTTGGCAGCCTGTTGGTTCTCCGTAGCCAGCCTCCTTCACCCTCCCTTTACCCCCAGACGAAGCATTCTTTCTTCCTCAGAGTGAGGCTATGTCCGTCTATCTAATCTAGCTCTGGGAGAGGCAAAGTGCAGGAGTGAAGGCTGTGGAGTTGGCAGGGGTGGTGTGGGAGGGTGAAGTGAGCAGAAATAAACCCAGGTTGAATGGCTGGGTGTGGTGGTGCATGCTTTTAATCCAGCACTGGGAGGGCTGAGGCAGGAGGATCAATATGAGTTTGGGGCCAGCCTGACTACAAAGCAAGACTTTGTCTCAGAACAAAAACAAAAACAAAAAAACCCCCGAAGATGATGTGGGGTGAGAAGTACATGGATATGATAGCAAAGAGATTCCAGTGTGTTGCTGTGGACCTTGTCTATGGGTTTTCCTTGTTTTTCAAGAGAGGAATAAAAAGCAGCACTGCTTTTTTTCTGGTAAATTATATATATATATATATATATATATATATATATATAATTTATCTTTAAAACAATTTTTTTTTGAGACAAGATCTCACTATTGCAGTCCAGGCTTGCCTTGGGCTCACTTTGTAGCCCAGGCTGATCTCGAACTCACAACAATCCTCCTGCCTCAGCCTCCCAAGTGCTGGGATTACAGGAGTGCACCACCATGCCTGGTATAAAATTTATCTTTTAAACCATACTTATGTGTATAATTCAGTAGATAGTAAGTCTATTCACAGTGTTGTACAATCATCAACACTATCTAGTTATGGAGGTGTTTTTTTTTTTTATCATCCAAACAGAAACTATTGAACAATAACTCCCAACCCAGCTCCCACGTCCCTGGTAATCTCTATTCTATTTTCTGTCTCTATAAATTGTCTTACTCCATAGCCACCTTCTATAAAGTAGAGTTATACAGTACTGGCCTTTTTAAAACTGAGTTTATTTCACTTAACCTAATGCAAGTATGTCATATGGTCATGTGGTGATTCCTTTTGGAGTGCTTTGGTTGTCAAACTGAATCACTTGTTTTTATTGTATGTCTTAAATTGTTTTATTTCACCTCCTTCTCTTTATTTCCTGCTGTTCATTTGATGGAGAAACTGGATTATTTGACACTACAGACCGAGCCACAGTCTAGATTTATATACTGCCTATTCATAGTGCAGTTTGTCCTTCTGTCCCCACATTTCCTGCAAATTCAAAGTCAGATGGGAGTCTTGGTTTGATTCTTGGGCAAGTTCTTGAGAGGGCGGTTTCCTGAGAGGTGTTCTGTGTTTCTCACTTGATCGCAGCAGGAGGCATTGGAGGTACTTCTAAACGTGAATGTAAATTTATCAGAATAAAGTTCTGTGGTTGAACCATCCAGGGATGTGGCTAAAACCCCTTCCTTCAGTGACATGTATTTAAATGCTATCCTTATTATCCTGGGGAAGGTACTCCTGTTCCTACTTACAGAAGAAGAAATGGAGTCTTCAAGAGATTCTGCAAGGCTCAGAGTTTATTGAAAAGAGCTTCTGGTTTGGATATTTACAAAATAACTATCTTTTCATCTAAACCAGAACGTCTGTGGTGGGGGGCCTGGTGGCAGGGGTCTCTCTATGCAGTTCAGGCTGCCCTTGAGCTCACTTTGTAGCCTAGGCTGGTTTCGAACTCATAAGGATCCTCCTGACTCAGCCTCCTGAGTGCTGGAATAACAGGCGTGCTCCACTATGCTGGGATGTAACAGTTTTCAAAAGTTCCCGTGGGGATTCTGATACAAGCAAAGGAGGAACCCAAAGGTAGGTCTAGAAGAGTGGCTGGGAGATGTGGCCAGCCCTTCCTCAGTGCTCCCCTGGAGCTACCAGAGGAATAGGACAGCCACCTTGGTATGCCTTGCTAGAGAGCCACGATTGTACTCCGTTCCTGGCAGCAGAAAGACCTCCCACAGGAGTCCCAGCCCCTCTACACTGTGGGCTTTGGCTCAGTTTATCTGTTTGCCCCTTCCACGTGCTAGATCCCTGGCAATCAACTGCCACAATATGAGGCCACTCACTTTCCCTTCTGGCATTTTTCAAAGAGTGCTGAGCCAAGGATGAGCGGGAGGTGGGGATGGGGTCTCGTTTCACTCTGAGCACCTCTGTTTGAGGTACCTCTTTGCTCTATGCCGCCACCACCCAAATCCCTGCCATGGGCCCCTGTCCCTGCCACTTGCTGTCCTCATCTTTGACCTTCGGTCTTTGGCATCCTCACGCAGTCCCCTGGGGCTGGCTGACAAGGAAGACGGGGTGGCCCTTCCTTATCCTTCATCTTTGGCTCACGGGACAGTGCTCACCCTTTGGGCCATACTGACAGCCTCTGGGCACCCATTCCAAGGTTTCTGGGCATCATAATTCCTCTTTGACTTATTGAGGAAGTGGACGATTGAGCCCTGATGCAGAGCTGCCTGGGTCCCTCAGGATGGTGTCTCCTTCATCCTGCAGCTGAGCCACTCTTGTCTTCTTCACTGTCACCATCATGACCACTTGTTAGCTCTGACTATGCGCTGAGGACAGTGATGAGAGCACGGCATTCCTGTGGTCCTCGAGGCAGCCCCTGGAATTCACGAGTGTGGTCGGCCCTTTCCTAGCTTGCACCGAGGAAAACTCGGTGCACAGAAATGCTTCTCTGAATTGGTGCAGCCAGGTGGGTGCGTGCTGCTCCTTGCCCTTTGCATGTGGGGAAGGAGGTGAGTTAGGGGAGCAGCCTCCTGGGGTCCCTTGATTTCACGACTGGCCTGACCTTCACACTGCAGTTTGGCCGGTTTCCTCACCTGTGGTGTTTTCCTTCCTGGGCGTCCAGCGGCTGCTGCAGTCACGAGTGTCCACCAAGCCTCTTTATTCCTACCTCCACCCAGCAATGCATTCATTATTGACCTTGTGAATCCCAAATGGGAGTAAGGTTCAAGTTATTTTCCATGGGTGTACAACACCTATTTTAGCCGGTGTGGTGGTACACACCTGTAATCTCACCACTCTGGGAGACTGAGCCAGGAGGAGAGCAAGTCTGACCCAGTCTGACTAACACAAAAATTTGTAAGAAGCAGGGTGCCTGGGGATTCAGCTGAGAGTGAAGGCCCTGGATTGAATCCCCAGCACCACAAACACAAACAAGCAAAAAGAACCCCCAAAATCTCACATCCCAAAGATTTTATGACAACTTAGTTGTCACAAAGATGCCACAGGGT